GTATTTACTTCTGTATTGAGTCCAGCCTTCTCAAAAATATATTTAATAATGATAATGAAATTAATAAAAACAGATACGTTAAGGATGTATTTTCTGAGATGCATTATCCTGTTACATTTTTGCTTCACATTASCTAATCAAAAGTAAAACTATAGCGCTTATCTTACACTGAGCTATGTTCAATTCCAAAGAGATCCCTCTTGAAACGACTTCGTCAAACCAACCTTAGATTTATCTATGACCAAACTGATATTCATTGTTCAGTTATCTTAAATAGCTTGGTAAATTGACTGTGTAAGCTAGAGGCGAAAAGGAAGTTACCTTGAACTTCTTGACCTTTAGMGATAACTACAAAACACAATTCTCTGAAAACCATACTGCATAAGCTTGGACATAAAAGAACTGCTTACTACAAAATTTTATGATAATTCAGTGAATTTATTCTTTTCGTTTAAACTTTCGCCAGATGACTCACRCTAGTTCACTAAAATTTGTTTTTTCGTCCTATCGCCACTAACCTACTAAAATATACATATGTTTCTTCTTTGTTTTTGAGACTAATGATAGCTACTCCTGTCATAATAATCTCTAAACGGCGAAATAGGGAAGCAAATGCTCGAAAATGTCTGCGTTAGCATTGGAGAGAGAGAAAGCAAAATTCAAAATATGCCTTATAGGTCGAATTTAGGTATTTATATTTGATATTTCGAGTCAGWAATAAGTAGCAACCAGACATGTAATGGGTTTTTCAATAGGGTCGCTACAAAAGAAGACCAGTAGGAACATAAAATACGCCATATTTTTCGCGCTCTTTTGACATTTTTCTTCAGTAAGATTGCCATATCATCATGGAAAGATAAAGGATCCAACAACAAGTCGAAATTATTAAAATTTACTTCCGAAATTCGGAGTCAGTGGCTTTTAAGAGCGCTAGGTCCAATTTATAGTCGCCATAATCGTCTTGTCAAATCAACAATTGGGCTTATAGTGGCGTACGTTATTCCACAGTAGAGCACAAAATGTTCCCATTCCAGTGAGACAAAGAATTGCCCATAGTGTCGACAAAATTGCTGCCGCTAGCGCATCAATTGAGGAAGACTCAAATCAGTCTCTCAAACGTCGTTCGCAAGCGCTAGGCACTTCTATGACGACGTTGTGGCGAATTTTGCGAAAATATCTTGACCTTTTACAAGATCAAATTGGCGCAAGAACTGAAGCCGCTTGACCACCAAAATCGTCTTATGTTCGTGAATTGGACTGAGAAACAACTTAAAAATTATCTGGATTTTCATCGAAAAATCATSTTCAGCTAAGAGACTCATTTATGGCTRAATGGCTTCGTCTAGAAGCAAAATATGCGTTATTGCTCAARTAGCAATCCACACGTACTATGAGTGACCATTACATCCCGAAAATATTACTGTTTGGTGTAGTTTATGGACCGRYGGCGTCATTGGGCCGTACTKCCTCCGTGATGATCAGGACCGGCACGCTATAAATAGTGGGAATCGCGAAAATTGATTTTTTTGTTGCTTGTTAAAATTAACGAAATATTCAATTCTAAATAGACGACATAAATTTTGCTAGTATGTATATGCATTTTAAATTTTGCTAAAAGCTGCGACCAGCTCTTCTACCAATGAGCTAACTCGCAATGAGTAATGGATCTTAACAAAAGCATTTTCTCGACAGAAATATACTTGTAGTTTTGTCATTGACTGTCAGCTGTTTTTGATAAAGATCGGAACTGGAAACGATAAGGATATGTGCGGTTATTAGTTGGAAAACTACGTTTCTCTATGCAATAGGTTTATATAAATTATAWCTACAAGAATATAATATATTTTCATAAAGGATCAACCAGCAAAGRATTTTGTTCAACTGGATGTCCAATACAATATCAATATCTCAACTACCTGTCTTCAAAAAAATTTAATTACTTTTAAATTTTGAAAACTCAAATTTTTTTTTCATTCTTCACTTCAAACACACTTTAGTTATTCACCTTTATTTATATCTGCGGTCATTTTGCCAAAAAACTCTTAACGAATCCAACCAAAACGTATTTAACCTCGACTGAGTATATTTGGTGTAAGCGAGAACTGCCAACCAGCTGCTAAGGCAATCGAACACGAACTCGCCAATAATACGCAAAACAGAAATGAGGAAGCTTCTTTCTGCCAATTCAGCCTACAACCGCTTACTAATAAAACAATCTTTTTAAGGTATTTATTAAATATATAAATCAAATTCTCGACCATTGCACGGCCAAGATAACTAAATCCAATCGAGCATGCGTACAATATTTATATACTATATAATACTCGTATATATACTATATGAATGCTACATGTGTATAAACATGTCTATATATGTGCGTGTACTTTGATTGGCTGATTGCGTTGAATGGGCTACTACTCCCCGCCAAAYTATGGTGTGATGTGGGTAATCATTACACTTCCCATGCAGTTGTTGCCATCGTCTAGCGCGTCGATAATACATAGTAGACGGAACTTAATAAGCCTGGTGTACAAAGAGTTATAAGTGCTTATGGAGTTAGTAAACAGTCTCAACAACGTTGAAGTGGACTGCACTGGTAACAATGTAACTGCCCTAGTTCTTATCAAGTTTTCATTAAGCGTGTAATCGAATGGGAGACAAAGCAAAAAATTTGCGTTTAGTGTAGGCATCGTTACATTCAAATTAGCGTCCGAAGAGAATGAATAACATACACATACATATATATAATATACAAATACATACATATAGACAAATCTCTGTGCCTTTTCAACACCCTAACAATACAATATCCGCATCATATCAGCGATCACCTATCAGCACTTTATCAGTTTTTTTTTTTTTATTTTATTTATTTAGGCACACACAGAACGCATGAATCAAATAAATCATGACTTACTCTGCTTTTTGTTCTCCATCAGTCCACATATTTAGAATCAACTTAATTTAAAGTTAAACTGTCAGATTTGTATGTACGAGTTTGGTTGACATATTAGTCAACTGGTGAAAACTGCATCAATGCTCGTAGAAGTGAACACACAAAATAAAATTTCATTAATTGCAATGCGTAGCTAGTATTATTTATAAGCACAAAGTCCAATGGGATTTGCCGATTTGCAATTACTTCTAATCAACATTTATTTATTATTGGATTTATGGCTTTCTAAAGCCAAACAATTTACAAATATATTATGGTGGAATGATTTTTACTTTTTATAAATTATAAACAGTATGTAACTTGTAAGAAACATTAGTGGATACGCAGCTGAGCGTCAGGTACTATCAAAAATCGTAAGGTTTAGTGGCGCGGAAAATATTTTCAGGGGTCCATTAATTAGAATATCGTACAAAGAATTTGTCCCAAATTTCGTGTGTGATATCGTTGCGAATGTTGGAAAAGGCTTACGGTGATTCAGTTGTTTCAAAAACACAACCATGCTAGTGTTAAAAACCCTTCAAAGACGGTCGAGAAAATACTAAAAAATTGTAGAATATGATGCCTGAAAACCATCAGGCAAGTATTGGACCGATGACAAGAGAGCACGATATCTTTTGCGAGTCCGTTCGAATAATTTGGGTACATATTTTGGGTATGAAATGCGTTCTGGCTCGACACGTCCCGATAAAATAGAATTTTTTTCAAAAAAGAGTACCATAAACATAATCTCTTTAGACATATTTGGACACGGACAATAAAACTACCTGTATCCGTTAAGCTTTTGGCGGAGAAACCTTCAAAATATCGTAACTGATTTCTTCCAAATATATTGTGTCGGGCTTGTAATAGAACTGGGCATTCACAGAGAAAGTGAAAACCCGTTTCCTTATTCCCTTCTAGCTCGCAGCTATGGCAATTACTGTTATAAAGCAAGATGATTTTTAACGCTTGCTCTCCAAAATACCAGTGTCCGCTAACGTAGCTCTAAGCTTGTATATACCATTTCTGGACCTAAATATTAGATCATTGATTCTTTTTCTATCATGTTTGGGTCATATGTATCTGCATTCTTATCTCTGCTGTGAAGTCTTTGTTCAAAATGCATATAAAGCTCTATTTTGATCATTCCCAGCAGGCCTAGTATTGATTCGTTGCCAAAAATATTCCAGGAACGGGAATCCAAACTGCAGACTAGTTGACTATCAGTGAGCTCAGGGATATCCTACAGTTGTGAACAACGCTGTAATTAATATGTGGTGGCGAGATGGTTTGCAATATCGCCTGGCTGCCCGTGTATATGGTTGCTTTCTATATTATCCCGTAGTTATACATAATAACTTCGCAAGCCTCTCTCTATATCCCTTATACTGCCGCTTAGTAGAGAGATGTCAAGAACATTGGAGTATACCCCAGCCTCTAGACCGCAGTTCATTTGGAATACATCGCAACAGACAGGGGCAGTCTTTTGTCGTCTCTCATGTCTCTAGATCCTCACCCAAAAGTGGCTATTAAACTCTAATATGGGTAGGATATAGTCTGATTTACTTAGTTTAAGCTGGTTCAGGATGGCGCCATGTCCATATTCTCTGGTTTTTAGCTTTCTACTATTTTCCGGTCGAACATGACATAATAGCCCCTTTCATAGGCTGATCTCTTATAGCTTCCTTATATAATAATATATCTTTAGTGCTGGTCATCAAACTAGTGTTCTGTAGTTCAGAATTGGTCTAATGACTGCTATAAAATGTTATTTTTTTAAGGATGAAGTAATAAAAAAAAAATATGTTATTTAAATTTCACAAAAGGTGTGCCCGTTTCGATATCTTGCAATGGATAAGTGATCTATAAATTCCTTAAATGGTCATAACCCGAGCTGAGGTCCTTGTATTCGGTTACAGGGAGCTTGGAAAGTAAATAATTGATTTTGTCTATTTTTAGATGAGAGCTGAATATCCTTAATTTTTTGGGACCACGTGTGATAAAACAACTAGATTACTGAGTCTTGACAATAGATCAAGAAAAAAATCAATCTGTATTAGATATTAAGAAAATATACATTCATTATCTATCGACTTCAGCCATTAAATAAATAATAGCTTAAGAGTCCAGTCAATTTGGCAAAAAATCATTATGGCGGTCACCTTATCAACAAGGAAGGGTTAAGGGAAGAATGTCGCGCAAGCTAGCAATGATATTTGTGAAGTTAAAGAAGACTATGCTGTAACATTTCGTGTATCATAACAATGGTTCACCTGTTTCCGTTCTAAATTTCTAAATTCCTTTTAAACTGATGAAAAAGGTCTCTAGCGGAAAAAAGACAAAAAGTTGGCAACCAAAATGGCACATATTTGTTTGATTRGAAATACAAAAATGTTTTGATTTTCGAAACATTTCAAAACTCATTACACAAGGATAATACACAGCAAGTAGTAACGAGTATTGCCTACCGTCACTAATCATGACTTATACGTTACTGCCCGCGACATCAAGCTAAAATCAGAAATTTGATAAGCACAATTGTTTTCAAATATTTTGTTATATTATCGCCTCTCACAGCTGTTTCCTTTCATTTCAAAGCCCGTAGTATTATTTATTTGAATACCAATTACTTTAATTAAGCTATCGGCTATTTGAACAGACGATTGTTATTGTGATATTAGCTATGAAGTATGTATTAACAACAAATAAAAAATTGAGCCTCGATTCCGCTGCAGCTTTAATACCCTTCACAATTAAAAATGTTTTCATAAAAGTACTTTGTTTTSATASTTTAGCTTATWTGGCAGCTWTATGCGTTAGTGGTCTGGTCCAAAACAGTTGTAAGAAGATTGGAGCATTACCTTGACCAATATTTTATATAAAATTTCATGAAGAAACCTCGTCAAATAAAAAAKTTTTGCATACAAGAGCTTGAGGTTGATCATTTTGATTGTATGGCAACTACATATACTTGTATATGCTTTAGTAGTCCGATATCAGCAGTTCTGACAAATAAGCAGCTTGTTAGGAAGAGAAGAACGTGTGCAAAATTTTAGGCCGACATCTCAAAAACTGAGGGACTAGTTCGCYTATACAAGTATATGGACARATCAACACGACTAAATTAGTTCCGCTTAACACGCTAATCATTTCTATATTTATTTATATTTTCTGAGTGTTACAAACTTCGAGTTGCAATATTTATATATTATATTCAGGGTATAAATATACGTATATATTTGCATCGAACGTAAGAGCGCACACTTGACCATTATATTATCGACCGTCGGCACTTATTAAGAACCCGATAAGCTTGATAAATATACAGCTTGTTCACTTTCGGTTCAATTAGTTTATTTAAAAAATCTATGAAACACCTGATTATCAAAATAGTACAAATTCTGTGGGAAAATCTGKTGCAATCACTTTCGCTATAATCGACCGTTGTTGCTTTGTGATTTATTTTATCAGTAAACWACACAATATATGCGGGCTATAAAAATCTATTTTAAGTTTATGTATTTTATCTACAAATTATTTGAAACTTTACTTGTCTGCTTCTCAACTGTTTTGAAGAGATTTCTGTTTACCCACATCACACTTGCCTACATAAGTGCATTTGTATGGATTGTATGGAGTGTAATCGTTACCTACCGTTTATTATATTATATATACTTATTTCTTTCACATCTTAAGTATGCGTTAAAGCCACTTAGATTACAAGCAATATATTTAGAAATTTCAAGCACCCACTTACATATTTCAGAATTAGTTAATCATTTAAATCAAATGAAGAAGAGTATTATTATTTTTCAAGTCATGTACTCCAAGTTACTTTAAGGTAAATAAATCTATTTGTTGTCAACTGTGCTATTAAATACCACAAATTTATTTATATAGTTGTTTAAGTTAAATTTCCAATGTGTATTTCCAAGGATGATGCACGGAAAAACAACATTATTTTTCTACTTTCACAGCAATTTTAGTACGAAAATCGAACCAGAATCGATTATACCACAGCTATATTTTGTACGACGCTATAAAACTTAGAAAGTGGCAAATCGAACTAACAACAGGTATAAACCATCTCTCTCTCTTTTTTTCTCTCAATTGAATACAAAAGTATATCTTTTTCGAGAAAATAGAGGGATGACGAATAGCAGACAGCTTAGACTAGATTTACAGGAAAAATCTTTTGTCGTACATTATCGACGAATTCCCGCTTGGTTTCGCTCATTGTATTCAGGCGATACGAATCATGTTTTGCTAATTTTTAYTCTTCTAATAGAATATTCATCTAATAGAATTCAAATTTATGCACATATTTTAAATATGTATTCCTTTGAAATAATGGAACGAGTTCTAATACAGAGTGGAATGTCGAATTAAATATTAGTGAACTGCGAACGGGGTTGGGCAACACAATGGTCTATGTGTGAACTTRGCACTTATATAACCTTGAATAAGCAATCGCAGTGTAAAAGCTGATTTTTTATAAATCAAAACCGACGTTAAACATCTTRGATCTTACAATGTAGTTCCACAGTCCATATTACATCAACTTCCATAGTCGATTTAGACTGTAAGCAATTTTTCCTACTTTTGACGCTCATTYCACTCTCTTTGCATTGGAAGTCGACAATGGACCTCTTCTTTTAGTACCTATTATTATTGCATCCTTACAATCAATGCTGGTGAATTATCGTCTAACACTTACATACGTATATCTAAGTCACGGCTACACAGACAGATAGGTGGTTCTGTTTAATGCAGAATATTACTTAGGTTAGTCAGTGTTTCTACTTACACTTATATACATATATATTATTACATATTATACACAAGATTCTCATATATCGGCATAGCGTTTTGAGYATAACATAAACCGATCAAAGGTACATACATAGAAGATGTCTTAGATTCTTAAAGTTTCTGAGACTGAGCCAGATTACTGCTTTCACTAATCGATCTCTGAGTTCTTTATACGATATTTAGTTGAGAAATAACTTTTCATAGTAATGTCCAGTACTTCTATTCTAAAGAAAGTATACTATGCGATTTATAAGATCTACAGTGATGGCCAAATCATATGCAACTAATACATCATTTATTTAGAAAAAGTATATGTACTTGTATCGTACCAATAAAGTTTGCAGACTGTTGATTGAACATGAAATTATTATAAGTTGCTATTTTTACTTTCATTTAAGGTTTTTAAACAAAAAATTTCACTCAGCAAAAAATTCAAATTCCATTTTGATTTTAACTCTTAAATTGCGATGACAAAAGAAATGCCACTCTGAGTTTGAGTTCAAGTAATACTATTATAGCGGTATTTTTCCGTTACTCTTGAGCTTCGGCATTGGAAATGMTACAATATTATTAGTTTTTGTAAATAAAAKAAATGTTAATTCATGCCAATCAACKTGATTTTTGTTTTATCGAAAATATAACAAGCGAAAAATTTAGAACTGAACTTCGATAGAGAATTATTTCCAATTTTTAGAAATTTGCTATGAAATATGACATGCATAATAAGAAAAGTCGCTTCTACAAAAGAAGTTTCTGTTATCCACCGAGGCGGTCGAGCACGCAAAACGAGCCAAAGTACAGACAACTTAATAGTACAACTAGCGAAAAAAAAATTCTGAAATTGTCTCATCACAAATATCTGAAGATTTAGATTAGATCCATACAAAAAGTGTGCGACTCCCAAAAGCTTCATTAAGAGAGTGTTGTCCCGCATACAAACCGATGGTTTCGGTAAAACACAAGCATTTTAAATTCGCTAAAAAGCATTTATGTTGGCCAATTAAGTAATAAATAGAAAACCATTTTATTCCAGTGATGAGCCGTATTTGCAAAGGCAAAGATATGACTCTCATTATTATGTGTGGTGGAGGTCATGTAATGGTGTGCGGCCGCTTTTCTACTAACGGAGTTGGACCAATACGACTACTCATGTAGTTAGGAGAGTATCATGTTTGCCTATGCTGAGTGGGAAATGCTACTACATTCTGTCTTTCAACAGGACAATAACCCAAAGCATACGGCTAAATATAAGTCAAGTGTTGGCTTGAAGCAAACATCGTTGATGTTATGGAATGACCACCACAGTCCGCAAGTGTTAACCCTATTGTGGGAGCTTATAGGAGCTGATTAACAGACGCATAGACAGGAATAACCGAAGCGCCGATATCGGACTTCTATGTAGTTTAGCTGTCATACAAACTGAACGGTACAAAAATCTCCAATGCATGTATGAAAAACTGTTTTATTTGTGAAGAGTATTATGGCTTCGATGCAACTGAAGTTGAATTATGTCTTTCTTATTACTAATAATATTCACAAAAATAWTAAAAGTTACTTTAAATTAGTTTTGTATTTATTTATTTATGCATTTCGCTAGCAACTATATTTTATACATTTGCAACTACTTTGTAAACTACAAACGCTTAATAAATAAAGTAATTTGTGTGTTAAATGTAAGTATGTCAGTGCCGCAGATAAAATTTAACTTAGATCAATACTTATCTACAATGTTTTATTGAAAGCAGAGCACAGAGATTTGCTTCTCTCTTAACTATTTCGATATTTTGCTTAAGCAATTTTTTTATTAAACTTTSCATTTATAATTTGACACAAATTTTTTGTTACTTAAATTTCTAATAAAAAGTTATGATATTATAATTTTACTACATCCCGAAAATATTCTTAAAATATTGCTTGTATTAAAGWTACTGCTTACTAAATTATTTAATGATAATATACTTTTCAAATTTGAACAGAGAAAATTTCCGCACACTTTTCTTTGCAGTATACAACACTTTTTTATACTTTTTTCTTAAAAAATTTAGACTTCACACCAACTAACTAAATATTTATACTATTTAGAATTTCAATAAGCCACTTTGGTATCAAAAAATACAACCCTGCCGTAATAATGTTAACGGTTTTCCACATCTAGCTTTGCAAGCTTAAAATACGGACTTTCCTTTCTTTATTTAGAATTTCAATAAGCTTTGGTATCAAAAAATGCAACCCTGCCTATTATACTGATATGCATTGTGAGTATTTAACGGTTCTCCTCCTCTTCCTCTTGCAAACGCAAAATATCGGCTTTATTCATAAAATAATAACTTGGCTGACGTCCTTTCAGATCTTTGGTTGTACGCTTGGCACCTTTTTGTATGAGTATGCGACTTAAGCTTTCGATAGCGTTCGTGCCCATGGCATAGTGCAAAACAGTGCGTTCCAGCTAAAAATAAGGTTGCTATATAAGAAAACTTTTCTTTCAAACAGCACAACTCACATTATCACCGATTTTSAGTGCGTCAGGATAGATATTTACAAAATGTTCGACCACTTCCTCGTTCTCTTTCAAAACTGCAATGTGCAAAGCTGTGCGTCCTGTCGTGTAAATAGATGGGTTAAGCTTTCTGTTGTAGTTTTATATATTGAAATCGTGAGTTACCATAATAGTTTTTGGCTTTTAAGAGCCATTTGCCATTCGGTTCTGCGACGATTTCCTTCGCACGTCCTACATTACCGTCTCTTATCATTTGATGCAATTCTTCGCGCAGCTCCTGTCGCATGTTTTACGAGAGATAACTTAAAAGTAGCGCATTTAATTAACATTTGATTACCTCTAATGTGCGCAGATTACGTAGAAAATTTGCAAGCTCCTCGTGTCCACGCTCGGCAGCTATATCCACTATACTTAATTCGTTGTCGTCGGTAATGTCAACGATGTGATCGTAGCCTTCTACAGCAAGTATTTCGAATGGCTTAACATCGCCTGCAATGACAAGAAATTATTGATAATTCTTCGATGAAAATATCGAAAAACTTTGGTTTACTCTCGCAATTTCTCCTTTACTTTTTCATCAATAATAATCTTCAATAAAATGTTCGAATATACTTTCTTTGTAACTATTTATTCCTGCTATTTATTTTTTCATTATTAACTTATCTATTACTAAGCTCTATCTCTCTGTAATTCCAAAGTATATCAAATTGCTTAAAATTGCGAACTATTCCCTCATTTTTTAGATAGCGGTCCACTATAGCATATTGTGCCATACAAACTGAACGATCAAGTTCACGTCCTTGTCTGGAAAACATTTATCGTCAAATGTTTTTAAAGGCTATTAAAGCTTCGGTGCACGAAGTAAAAGCTTTTCATATCATTTTCTTCCGCCTATACATATACCCTCACTCTCCTCTCTGTACTGCCTTCTAGACTATATCATTCACCTCAATCTTTACCTCAGACTTTATCCTATGCTTTATTGTAACGACGTGCTTCTTTCTCTGTAAATATATGCTTCTCTTTCTCTGTTTATTCTCTTCTGATTCTCATGATCAATCTCTCTTCCKCCCCACAACAACACAACCGTTCGCACTCACCAATCACAGCCAGCGATAGCACATAACGATCGATRTCTTTCGCATTCGCTGGTTGGTTAGCCTGCAGCGATACGTCACGCGCCGTGCGATACAATTCATCACGATATGTTATATCGACATTCGATTCCTCAATTAGATGCATTAGCGCACCGCGTCGATGTGAACGCGCACATGCGAAATGAAGCATACTTTGTCCATGTTCATCGCGATCATCAACATTTGCTTCCGCTTCCTCGTCCCCATCAGCACTCGAAATGTGATCTTCGTCAATGCGATCCGCATTGTCATTTATATTGTTGGCACTGCGCAAACCAGTGCCAGTGCGACGTACCATGCCGGTGTGGGATGTTATTGTCGCGGTGGAATTTGTTTTGCCACTATTACTCGTATCTGTAGGATCGCGCTGGTGTAGATAGTTTTGCAGATAGTTAGCAAGAAATGCAACGGGATCCTCGGGCCGTTTGTTGGCGATTTCCGTAAGCGCTTTAATGAGCGGATCTGCCAGATCTGAAAAGTGTAAGCAAATGTATGAATACTAMCAAGTGTGCTTATTATTATGCCAACTTACTGTTCGCTAAATATTTGCCTTGYTCCGTTTTGAAAATGGGGTGCATTTGACTGCTGGCATTTTCAGCTTGACCTGAAATTGAATGAWAGTTGCACTAAATGTTTTGTTTAGCACTAAAATAATAATTCTTTGACAATATTTATTTATGTAAAAATTCTAGTTTGAAAAATTAAATTAATTGAAAATTGCCGACACCTTTTTTTGAAGAAAAATGTGCTTTACAGTGAAGTCTGCTAATCAGATTTGTTAGATTTATTAAAAGAGAGAGTAGCGTTCTATAAAATTTAAACTATTTGCCAGTGATTATTATCATGAATTGCATTTGATAGGATATAGTGCAACTAATTTTCTTTCGAAATTGAGGCGAACTCAGRAATCGCTGGTCAGATACCAGCATCTGTACAATCGAAAAGGTACTGCTGTCCCAGCGTAAATTGTAAAAGGTCTCGTGAGCTCTTCAGCTAAGTTTTCTTTTCAATAGTTATAGCAATTTTAACWAGGAACTGCCCGAATGGCATTGATGCGGTAAGATTGAAATTTTTACATGATACCGATAGCATAAGCTGTTTAAGAACAATTCKAAAATATCTTTAATCTCATATTTTTTGACATCCAGGTGGATTAGRGGAAATATAAATCAAATGCGGTTAATATGCAAATGTCTAATATCAGAAAGGACTCCATTCCGTAATCTAAGTGTGATCTCATTCATCTTGGGTGAATCAGCCACTTAATCTTATCAAATTATTCTAACYCAGTTGGGTGTCTAAAGTAAAGTGCTTCAAGTACTTTACTCACTACAAAACTAAATTTATGAGAGCTGTGGTTTTATGTCTGGCAAACATAAGGATTTTAGGCATAATTGTGGTTGAACTTGGATTTATATACGGACAAGTACTGTTTTCTCGTAGTCGGATGATTCAAGTAGAGGTACTTTACACGCGTTAGTCATGTGAAGWTGTCATGTTATCATATTATTTCTGTTTAGTATTGTTWRKCACTTCTTCAAAGAAATACTTACACCTGAAGAACGTTTACAAATCATTAAACTTTATTACGCAAATTCACGATCTGTAAAGAATGTGTTTGGAGCGCTTCGCTCAACTCATGGTCAACACAATCGACCTACCGGGAGTACTATTCGCAACACCATAACCCATCTTGTGACCCAACATCTTTTATTGAATAATGGAGGATCAAATAGACTACGACCAGCACGCAGTGATGGAAATATAGCAGCCGAAACTGAAAATGTATACGAAGACCGTGGAGAGTCGACTCGACACAGTTCGCAGCAACTTTTACGTCGAGATCTTAAATTAAAGGCATACAATATACAGTTCATGCTAGAACTGAAGCCGCTGGACTTTCCCAAGTGACATCATTTCAATTAATGGGCTCTTGAAAAGTTTCAAGAAGGTCTGACGTTTTCAAGCCAGATTTTGTTCAGCTATGAACCCACTTGGGGTTCAATCATCGTTAATTGTTGGGTACGAAGGGATGTTTTAATTCTCTTAAGAGAACTCTGTAGTGGGATAAATTTAAGGTTAAGGGTCAACAAACCGCATTTGGATTTATTAACGAGCTAAAGACTATACGTAACTTGAAGTGATGAAACGACTGTTATAATACGTAAACAAAAATTTGTAAGACAATAGCTGAATCTGCAAAATAACAGAGCAAAGGGGCAGCAGAACAAATAAAACAACATATGAACCTCGATAAAATCTTATGAAGCAAACAAGTCATGTCCAAAAACTCAAGACTGGAATTAGCAGTAAATCGCGAACGACTGTGAAAAAACCCTTGAGCAATAAAAAATAAATAAAATAAATGGCAACCGAAAGAGAACTGTACTAGGACATTTTGACCAAACACAATTTTTTGCACCTAAAACCAAAAATCACAACAAAGACACAGGACACACGAGTGAGGACTAATAAATGTGTTATGAGTTAAAAAGAAAATGTACGAACCCGAGTTTGTTGTATTGCAAGTGTTCAGAACCCACAGAGTCTCAGAAGAATGTACGAGTATTAAGGATGCGCCGCAATCGAAAGCATTCAAGTTTAGTACACATGCAATTATATTTACAGGTATATCGTGGGAGATTAGCAAAGACGAGAGAAAATGATGACTTTATGTTTTGTARAATGTAGTAATATGTAGTAGGTTTGTAATGCTTTGATCTAAATATTTATATTTGGCATATCTTAATAACTTATGACGACATATTTTATCTATCTTAGTTTCATTACTTCGACTCCACTCCTCCTTCTTCTCACGCGCTACTACTTAAGCACTAGTTACGCTCCACTAGGCTGTTCTTTTTCCGGCGAAATATTTTCACCAACATCGAGGCGATGTGCTTTGAGTTCGTCAGCGACATATCCTTCTCCAGCGACACAATATTGGTSACCGCCGTGCAGTAGTCCTGAAAGAGCACATACTCGATTACGCCCAAACTCTGCATATTCACTAACTGTACATCCGATTTAGAGGTCGCACAAGTGATCAGATTCAGGCCACGCACCAAGCTCAGGTGACGCAAGTTGTCCACTTCTTTCATCAGATTTGGCAGATTAATTGTTGTCGTAAATTTTAAGCCTGTGCCCAAGTAGGCTGGACGCGCTTGCAGATAACCCAAAAAGTAGCTCTCTTTAAAGTGCAGCTCACGTTCCAGAAACGAGATAACGCGTCCAACACGCGTATATGCCACACCCATATTGGCGGCATTCGCATCGCTCGATGTAGAGATCACGCGCAAATGCTCCTGGCAGTTTAGCCAAAGCGCCAAATTATTTGTCGAGTTAATGTATACACCACGTCCATAAGGCCAGAGGCTGCCATTGAAAGCCAATGACTCGGCACCTTGCACAGTATCTTTCATATCCAGCAGCGGTATTAAGAGACCCAACTTCTGTAGCGTTGCATGTATTTCGGCGTTCTCCTCCAGTATCTCCGTCAATGTATAATAGCTGCCCGACTCAGTTTCRCCGATAGCCTCAACAAAATGATTAGTGAATATTTTACCCATAATCATGCGTTCGGCCTGTTCCACTTGTCCAATTGTCAAATTAACGGGCAACTCGAAATCCTCCAAGTTTCKTGAACACTCGACGGTACAACGTTGTATAAGATTTGATTCGTCATCGAARATAAAGGCGGCCGTATTGAGTCGCACAGCATTCTCCATGGGAAAGAAGGCAATACGTGGATGTGGYTTGAAATCCTCATTCACACTCATGCAATGCATATCTTTGATAAGTGGCACGAGAAACTCCTGAAAGACCACATACACATCGAAATCCGGCGCTATAACACCACAATTGATATCCTCTTCCAGTAAACGCACTTTGGAAGTCTTACGCATTGATGGCCAAATAACATCGAAGAGATTGTGATCGAGTCGGGTTTGTCGCAAGCGTATCTTCTCGAAGACGCTACGTTTTAGAAAGCGACTCAAATAGCTTATGACCGACACTTGTAGTGTCGAGGCAGTCAATGGTTTACGATGCGCCAGCGCCGAGGCTGCCGAACCACTCAACGCTTTGCTCGACTCTTCGATTACACTGAAGCAACGATCGAGCGTCCGATTAATGTCGACATCTTGCAGTTGTCGCCTCGAGCTGTGCAGATCATCTGGTACTAGTGCAGGTTGATAGTTTTGTGGTTTGTTGGAGGTGCGATGAATGTATGCAGTTGTTGAAAAGAGTTAAAGAGACGGAGAGAGATAGAAACAAAGTGTGAGGGTACATGTGGTRTTGCGCCGATGAGGGAGAAAGTAAAATTTATGAGCGGTTATTTTTTGCGTTTTTTTTTCATCATATAAGCAAAATAAGCTACATTTAGATAAAAGACGGAAACAAGGAAAAATAAATTGAAAAAAGTGAAAACGAAGTTTATCAAAGCAGCAAAGTGTAGRTCTAGTGCTATACTTTAACCGAAGCAATAATCGAAAAGCGTTACACAATTAAGATGAAATAATATCATATATAGTGTGTACATATGTCATGATAAGCTGTGTTGAAACTAGTTCCACATTAACAATTTTTTCTCATGAACAAAAATTAATTATTTTTAARTTCAAAAGCCATTGCAGGTCTATAGCGAAAAAGGATGTTAGATTTACTAGAGATCAAAGCAATCCTTAACTATTTTGATGCAACCCTAGCTGTAGCGATTTCAAAGCCGCTTGGCCCTCTGCCTTTATAAATATATTTGTTATTGTGAGCACACTCTTTGCCCAAACACCAAGCCTTTCTTTAATTGCTGGGAATTCCGCTGGCCAGACATTACAATAGTCTGGTAGTCGATAACCGATTCTAGTATCTAATTTTGAGACACCATCTCCCACTCGAATATCTAGTTTGGATCCATTCGTATRGATGCTTATCCCTGTGCCTCTGTCTACCTCACACTTTTATACTCTTTTCTGCAGAGAAGGCAATATCGAGAACTGAATTTAAGTTTAAACCTATGATATTATATTTCGAAAATCCGTGGTATTGGAGAGAAACGGAAATTTCTTCGAAAATGCCTTATTACAGATGACTAGAAGGGTGGATTACATCAGTCTAAGAGCTTCGCTGCTAGTTGCTTACTGAACTAGTTTGTTTACAGTAAATATAAAATAACGTTTAGTACCGTCGTTGTTCCAAAAGCTTCACTGATGCGTACACGAGATGCTCTGTATATGTTTTCTCTAACCATTACCACGCATTTTTATCCCAGCCGCACAGTCCGTCAGCCGTAATAAGTTATACAAGGCCTTAGTTCCCATTTGCGTTTCACAATCCTTGTACAGGTGTAAAGTACTAAAGCTACATTCTTCACCCTAGCGTATAAGTTTACTTTTCATGAAAGCCCTATCTAAAATTAGCTTTATCTCCTATTGTTAGCCGCTTACCATTTATAAATTGCGGCATAACTTCTGGAATTCTGTGATTCCTAGTGAACAGAATTAGCTCTATATTGCAAGCAGTCACGATGAGTCCGCACTATATGGCCCATCGTTTTATACGATATGTGTCGTTTAATATTGTTTACAGAAGCAACTAAAGTATCTCGTATATATGTATCATACATTACGAAATATATATCGTCTACTCGATCATCATGTTCGAAGTTTCCATTTCTACGTTTGAATAAAAATKGTTATTTTGGCTTCAAAGAACGTCCTGTACCACCAAAAACGTTTGAAAATGAGCACTACTCATTGGAAACTGTTGACAAATACAAGAACGATCTGCAGTATCTTTAAAAGTCACTCAATCAACCATTGCGCAACACTTAAATCCAAAAAACAAAGACCCCAGTGTCCGTAGCCACGAGGCAACAATTTTCCAACTTGATATCGTTTTACCTTTTATTGCAAGACCATTTAAAAACTTACAGCTGATCCAAGTAGAGGTACCTTTTTCAAAGCTTTTTTTTTTTGACAGATTACACCTTAGTCGTGTYATGTTATTTTTGTTCAGTACTCTTTTACATTTTATCATGGAAAGACTTACACCTGAACAGCATTTGCAAATGGCTCAACTTTATTAGGAAAATTCAYTYTCCGTAAAGAATGTTYTTTGCTCKCTTCGCTCAACTTATTATCATCTTGGGATCCAGCATTMATTATTGGCTATTATTTGACAGAATTGACCTCGGTCAGTACGTAGTGAAGAAAATATAACAGCCGTAGCTRAGAGTATACACGAAAATAGTAGAGAGTCCATTCGGCACGGTTCGCAGTAATTCGGACTGACGTATGAAACGACTTGCCCATTTCTCGGCGCATTAGGTTTATAAACAAGCAAAATTACTGCATTTGGGACGAAGAGCAACCTGAATAAATTCAAAAGCTGCCATTTTATCCAGGCGGTTTGTATGGCTTCAGAGCTGGTCAAATCATCGGTCCATATTTCTTCAAAATTGATGCCGGTGAAACGCAGTCGTCAATTGCGACCTTTATAACGGCAGGATAACCGACTATTTGATGCCTGTAATTGATTGATTGTGATCTCGGCGGCATTTGGTTTGAGCAAGCCGCCACTTCCCAGACATCGCATCAACCAATGGATTTGTTGAAGAACACTTCGGTGAGCAGACAATTTAATGTTTCGGGTTTTTCAATTGACCACCAAGATCGTCTGATATCACATCGTTTTATTTTTTTCTGTAGAGATATGTAAAATCTAAAGTTTATGCGAACAATTCCGCTTCGATTCAGGCCTTTGAGCAAAACATCACGCATGTCATTCGTCAGTTACCAGACTAAACGGATAGACAAACAGAGAAGTAGCCGCGGCCAACATTTGAAAGAGTTAATGTTCAAAAAGTAAATGCCAAATAAAGCTTTTTTCAAAAAATAACAAACATTCTCCATTAAATCTGAAGTTTATGAGTTTTTTTTCTTTAAAAAGCAGGAAACCTCAAAATGGTTCATCCTCTATTTGGAAAACAGCAGAAAAAACTATCCAGTCATATCACTCTTAGCTCAGAGCTTACCCTTTCTGTCTATAATTTGTTGCAACCGTTACAGAAGACACTCACTCACAAACATGTTTAAGCTAAAGATGATCAATAATTGAATAATATTATTGTTCATGTTTTTTGTTTTTTGTTTTGTTTTTTTAATAACCCTTCAAATTGTAGTTAGTTATGGACTGAATGTATGTTGCAGATTTGTAAGAAGCGAGCTACACACATAGCGAGCTTATAAAATTTTATATAATGAGGATAAAGAGTGACCAACTCAATCAAGTAAACTCACTTAAAATATCGCGGAAATGAGTATTTTACCATAGCCAGTTCATATAAAGTTAGAAAGAAGAAGAAAAAAGAAGTTAGTACACCGCTGTTAATTTGTCCCATATTCCCAGACAACCCTCACTATGAAAGAGCCTTGTAAAGCTCTTGCCACCAAATATTGAATTAATATTTTAATAGTTTKAAGCACCCAACAACACAACAAAATGAAGTCTGTTTAAATATTCATAAATAACTGACTTTATACTCTGTGAGTTAATCAATAAAAACCTTTTAGAAAGTTTGTATAAAACTCAAACGAGGRAGGCCCAAAAATAAATTCAAGTTACCATTACAAACGGATTTCATTATTATAATTATTATACTTTTTATAAGTTGTGAGTTAATTTTGCAAAACAGTAATTATAATTTACGCAAACGTACCAAAAATGTCGTCAATATTATTGATGAGACTATTGAAGAACTCCCGATCGCCGATTGCTTGCGACATTTTTGAGGATTTTATGACAAGCTTATCACCCGAAAACTAACAAGTAATTAGTAAGAAGGAGTACACTTTCGCGTTAACGGGCGCCACTTTTACACTAATTACACAATAAACAAGGCAAACACTAGGCGCGAATAAAGGCGGTCAACGCAATCAATTGTGACCCAGAAAAACCGCAGGCAGACGTGTGTTGACCACAACAGTAAATCAATGACTGACAGCGGCGAAAGCACACGACTCTCCAATACAAATATGCTACATATACTAAGTATGTACATATGAATTACATATGTATATGCAGGACTGCAGAGTTATTTGATTTTATATATTTATATTCGTATAGTTCGTATAGTTTGTTGGGTCTTTGGCTCTAGTGTATGACCGCTAGAGATTGCGGTTTGAATAGTGAACCGCACAGGACTGCGTAAGACATTCAATATATATTTTAAAMATTATTTTTAATTATTTTGCTTTTATTTACAATTTTATTTCTAGTGATGCAGTATGCTYACTAAATAAAGCTTTTTTTTCATACACACCGGATAATTTAAATTTTCTGACGTCATTCCAGCGATTCTGGAAGAGTCAAGGAAAATCTAAAAGTCCATTGGTAGTCGAAAAAGTCCTTTGGTATTTTTGTCAATAGATGTCGTTGCAGTCGGATACCGTCACACCATATAGTGTAAGAAAGGCGAGGTTTTAAGCTTCATTTGATCAAAAAAAAAAAATATTAATTCGGGGAAGCTGAAAAAAAGTTACAACTCTTCAAAAATGAGAGAAAATAATGCAGAAATTTGTTATATTTTGAAATTTTTGTATAAAAAAGAAAAGATCAGGACCATCACATAAGCAGCCATGACATCGCTTAGGAACAYAACATTCATCATCAAACGGTTTTGAACCATTTAAAAAAGGCTGSCTACAAAAAGCAGCTTGATGTTTGGGTACCACATAAATTGTCTGTGAAAAATTTAATGGACCGAATTAACATCTRCGATTCTATGATGAAACGAAATGAAATCGAACCATTTCTGAAACGAATGGTAACAGTAGACGAAAAGTGACCCGAATACGACAATATTGTGGCAAGAAGATCATGGTTCAAGGTGGAGAAGCTTAGCAAWTGGTCTCAAAGCCAGGATTGAWGYCTCGAGTGTTTGGTGGGATTGGAAAGGAATCATCCACTATGATATGCTCCAACTTGATCGAACGATTGATACCACATTTTACTGTCWATAACTGATGAGATGGAAGCAAGTAATCGAAAAAACGGTCAGAACTGATCAAAAGAAAAAGCTTTGTCTTCAATCAGGGCAACGGTAGACCACACACATCTTTGATCACTCGGCAAAAACTGGCAGAGCTTTTCKCGGAACTTTTGATGCATCCACGATATAGCCCTGCCCTTGAGCCATYGGACTACCATTTGTTGCGTTCAATTCAGAACTCTCTTAACAGAGTAAACTTGGCTTCCCTATAGGCTTGCCTATGAAAATTACTTGTTGCAGTTTCTCGCCGAGAAACCAGAAAAGTTTTACGCTGATGGAATAATGTCTCTAGTGGGAAAATGGCCAAAAATGGTATACATTTGGTTCATTAAAGTTCCTTATAAATATAAAAAATAAATTAAAGTTTGATTAGAAATGCGAAAAGACTATCCAATATGACTTGTCCAAAACTCGTCTTTTTTAGTTCTGAGAATGCTAAATAATTTTTAAAAATTATATACCCGCCACTTATTGTCTCACTTGTACCACAGAAAGTTGGAAAACAAAGTTGAGTATTGAACAAAAATATCTCGGAAAATTATAAATATCGTTTCCTACAGGGCACAAATTTACACACATATTTACAAACAAAAGTATACGTCTCTATGTACAAAGCAATTTCTAGCAATTTCACTCGGCAGCAATCGTCGCCTACAAAGCCCTACACAGCGGCAAAGGCTGATACAGAAAATGAGGCCGCAAACGAAAGTAACCGCTGCAACCGCAAAAACAAATAAAATTATTAATTTAAAATGAGCTAATGAAGTTTACCGTAATGCCCACAAACCGACTGCTACAACAAATTATAAACTGCTTAGAAACGACAGCAATGTGGTTAGGTGATGAAGGCGGGTGTATTTGCAGATGTGTGTGTGTATGTGTGAAACTATTGGAAAAACCCACATGTCAAGCGTGGTAAAAGGAATTCAAAGCAAATCAAGATGAGGTGTTCGAGAACTACTTTTCGCCTCGTTTAAATAGAGAATCGAATAAAAAAAATTTATATACATATATGTATTTACACAAGTGCGCAATTTGATGAACAAAGACACACATTTAAAATAAATTAAAATTAGAATGAAAAACCCGTAAGGGCGCTAGTTAACGGCTAAGCAAAGCTCAACCTACTATTTGCAGTTACTATAGCCTTGGTGTAGCTACAACAGCATGCATGATTTTGATTAATTTTTTTAGCATATTGATGATAAAGAAACGGCACCTTACCTTGATCACTAAGCAGTTCATCTTCTAGYTCCTCAGCGCCAAAATTGCTCAACAACTGTTTATAGTTGAGTATTTCTTTGGCGTCATCTTTATTTTGATAGAATTCTGGCGTGTGCCCAAGCTGCATTTTTATCGAAAGTTGAAAGCAATATAGGRTAGTTGCATATGTACAGTTATTCAAAAAAATAAATGGTAGTCTAAACTATTGATTTTCGTGATATTGTTTTTTATATGTTAATTAACATTGTTAAACTGGAAGTTAMTGCTGATATGTTACTCATACGCCGTGCTTTGCCTATAGTGGCAAGATATAAATTGGATTAGTAATTAGCTGTTGCCGAGAAAAATATAAAAATTAATAAATATGTTGTATAAAAGCAGGATAGAGTACTTATGAAAGGCAGGTTAAACTTTTTTTCGGAATTAGTCTCAAGTAAGTTTATTTGGAGGCAAAAACCTTCATAAACAATTGCAGATCGAAAAAGATCGATTGATCAAGCCACATGACAAGAAAAAACATTGCCTTTGGTTGCACYGAAACTTTAATACCGTTCAAGCTGATTTTCGTGAATATATCTCGTCAAATAAAAAAGCTTTCTGTGCATGAACTTGAGTTTGATCGATCAGTTTGTATGACAGCTATAGGCTATAGTGATCTGATGTGAACAATTTTTTCGAAGGTTGTAGTGCTACCTTGAGTAACAATACATACCAATTTTCGTGAAGATATCTGACCAAATAAAAAGCTTTCGATGCATTAACTTGAGTTTGATCGATCAGTTTGTATGGTAGATATATGCTATAGTGGTTTTATCTGAACTTTTTTCCGGATGTTATAGCGCTGCCTTAGATAACAATCTGTGCCAATTTTCGTGAAGATATTTTGTCAAASAAAAAAGTTTTCTATACAAGAACTTGAGTTTGATCGGACAGCTATATCCAAGTGGTCCTATTCAAAATTTAAAAATCAATCCATAAATTACTTAAATCATGCTCTCTCCGTTTATTATCAATACTTCTTTATTTTAAATGTGAATCCAACGACAACGTAAAGCCCTGGCCTATGAGTAACAATTCAGCATTACACAAGTWTACATATGAATTTAAAGACTCGATTAAATAATCACTTTGATTAGAAAGCTGAATGCATATAAATTATTTCCTCTTCGTTTTTTTTCGAATATCGTTCATCATACGAACAGTAGTAATAGCTTTTCAGCACAACAAATTAAAGTATTACAAAGAATTCGCCACTAACCTTATCCAAAGCTTTGCTGTTGGCACCGAGCTGTGTGAGTACATTGTAAAAGTGTCCATTATCATTAATTGTGGCGGCATAATGTAGTGCTGTACGTCCATCATTGTCGGTGATTGTGGTGGTTTCTGGAAAGCGTGCCGCCAAATACCGCACAATATCTGTGTGAAAAGATAACAAGTGAAAAATTGAAAGCCATTAATTATATAAATTAAATACGTTTCTATATATGAAAGACTGCATACGGTTGGGGGTGCGTGAGCTAGAAAAGTTGTATTTGGGTCAGTTTTTAGTTAAAATCAATAATTGTCTGTATGTAGTGTAATATTTTCATAGTATATACTATATAAGTAAGTACGATCCATTTGGAAGAATGTCGATAATAAGCGCACATGTGTATACCACATAATTTAAAACAAGAATAACATTTTTAAAAAGATTGGAATCAATAGAATTCCGTGCTAAAAGGAATGCAGTGCTGTTATAGGTATATACTAATTAAACGGGCTCTAAAAGGCCTATGCGACCTTTATCACACATTTTAACACTTTAAATAAAACCTAACATAATAAAACTACCAAAAAAAAAAACAACCAAATATATATATATGTATAAATATATGGTTAAGTAAAAATACATCTATCCATTACTGCGCGTTCTACATGTATATTGGTTAAATATGGTCTTCCACCGTCCTTTCGAGCCTAAATAGAAAGCTGGTGTTTTCCTTCCGTTCCCTTGCATATGATCTTGGCGATCATGCATGCTCCTAAAGCWTTCCAGCCTACGCTTGTCGGGGACCAGCTCGATCGGATATTCCTTTGCGGAATAGTTTTAAGGATTTCTCTATTTCCTAAACTTGTTTCGAAGCTTAGAGAATGGCAGCTTTGTACAATATAATTCAGAGCAAGCTATATAGGAGGTGGAAGGACTTCGTGATTGATGTAATCACAATTGCTGGAGCATGCGTCTAAGGTGGACACCAGCAAAAAGAAGATATCCATACTTTACATTTTTTATTTTTTTATTTCGTCACTGTTTCGATTGCTYTTGAGCTAAATATTCTCCAAAAAATCATTAGGAATCTATAAATAAGGCGTAATCGTAAAGTAGTCCGCGTGTGATGCGGTAACGGAAAACAACTTCATGCAACAAATTTCTATCCGCGAATCGCTTCTGAATTGCAACAATCACTTACATATATCAACGTCAGGCAAAACAAAAAATATCGTAGGGAGAGCAAAAAAGACATCAATTGCCCTATACCGCTGTGGAAGTGCCATATACTGACAAAGGAGTTTTATTGGAGGAGAAGTGCAGTCAGSTTCTTTGTGGATGGGTCAAAGCTTGGTGGTAAGGTTGGTGGACGAGTTTGCTGTCGGGAGCTCCCTATCAACTCTAGTTTCAGACTTTTTGACTATTGCAGTTTCTTCGAAGCTGAGGTTGCAGCCATTAAGGTAGCAGTGGATTTTCCGGCTCGAGTGCGGCCTCTTTTAGAGAGGTGACAATTYTCTTAGATAGCAGAGCGGCGATACTAGCATGCAATCATTTACAGTGCGTTCAGGGTTAGTCGCAGAGTGCCTAACCGGAATCGCAGGTAATTGTAAAGCTGATGAAGGTCGGTACTCCCGTAACCCATTGTATTCTACTACTGGATAGCTGRGGTCCGCGGAAGCTTGGCCAGCGCTGTGCCACCATCGGTACTTGCGCAGTCGCAAAAGCCTTTGGGCCCAAGATTGATCGAAGAAGATTTARTGATCTCTTTACTTTCAGTAAGGTTAGCCTCTCCTTAGTTGTGGGCCTTTTAACAGGATAGGTCCATGCTGTAAGGTTGGAAATCATAATATATATATATATATAAATAACTCAAAACTTTCTTCTTGATTGTCACACGTTTTGGAGATCAAGAGTTGAACACCTTCAGACTGGCGGGAGTTAAAATTAAGCGCCTTTGCAAATTTATATTTTTGTCAATCTATAAGTCTAAACACAGGTGTTTTTATATTCTACGGCTTCACAAAGGATTACATATTATTAGATTATCTATCAGTCATCTAACCTTACCTAACCTATCCTACTAGATAAAGACAAAATATTGTGTATAACATTTTTTTAATCTAAATAAGCACTATATTGGTTCTGTTCTTTCCCTTTTATAGTTAAGAATTTTTAATAAACAAATATGGTAAATTATGGTTATTAATGCATTGCGAAAAGAAGTTTAAGGTATAGCGAAGTTTTCTTCGAAAAAAATCCATATGTATAGAGTGACTCACCTGTATTACCGAACAGTACGGCCACATGCAGTGGTGTGGCACCGTTAGGTGAGATATCATCCTTAGCAATGGCAAACTTTCGACGATCCAAAGCTTGTTGCAAAGCCAACAGGCTACCTTCGCGAGCGGCTTCATGAACACGGCGAATTTTACTCTAGTACATAAAAGCAAATGAAATTTGAAAAGGTATTAACCAAAATAATAAAAATAGAGAATTAAAATTAATAATTCTTAGAACGCAAAAAAAAAAAATGTTTTTTTTTGTTTTTGTTTTTAATTTTTAAAGAAAAATAAATAATAATTTTAGAATCAAAAATCCTTCACACTCACCATATAGTTAGGCACATTACTAAGGAACGCCTGTATGTCCGGATTATGTGAGTGTATATTCACCAGCTTCTTACCATCACCATTGAGCACAACCTGCGCTAATTGCTCCATGTCACCGGCTTCGATGGCTTCACGTATATCTGACTGCTTGAGTTATGACACGGGTTTTAGTAAGTAAGCACAGAAGTTGGCTTAAAATTTATTACAACAACAAAACGCACATAAAAACTCACACACACAATAACCAAGAAAGACTACTGAAGGAAACCCAAAAAGCCAAATGAACAAAATCATTTATTAACAATTAAATTTATTAATTAAATAGCACAACACCATTTTGATGGCCCAAACAACAACACTCAACTACTTTCAAACTCAAAGAATATATAAAACAGAACAATAAAATAATCAAATTATAACGGAAAATGAATAAAGACTTCACAGCAATTAACTTGTATGCTTAGCGTTAATACTTCGTGTACATAAGCAGCGGATTGCGACTGAACTCTATTATCCTCCGATGCGCCAGTCACGAAGCCTTCAATGGCCAGCGATGAGGTCGGCGAACTGGCACCATCACCGTTGTCATATTTAGCTTCATTGTGATTTTCATCCAACTTATCAGCTGGTTGTGGTTCTGTAACTACTTGTACCTCGTCGTCGTTTTCGTCGGCTTCAGACTCAGCTTCATGCTCGGATGCGGTATCGACTGCGGGTTCATTATCCGATTCGTAACCGTTATTAGTTTCATTTTCACTGTCTGTTGCTGCTTCGTTTTCGTTTTCATGCTCGTCTTTTTGCTAAGTGAAAAATGTTCGTTGGTCACAAAAGGCTTCGGATTTTAATCTAGCAAACACTCCTAGTATGCTACAAATTTTGCTTCTTTTTTTTTGAATAATTATAATTCTAAGAAATACGGTACAGCTATTGCACTACTTTTTGGTTTACGAGTAGAAGAAAAAAAACAATAACAACTAACTACGGTGCTAAATAAGAAAAAAAGTTTTTTGTGTTTCAGCAGGAAAACTTTCATTATTTAAGAAACTAGTTACAACTAATCTCGGATGTATCTGGGATCAATTCAAATGTTGCAGGCTTAGCACATGAAGCATGACAGTATGACTAATCGGAACGACCAATATTTACAATAACAGACAACAAATGAGTTCGTATGACATGAGATCCATTGATTTTATGGTCAAAATAATCGCCCTACTAAGAGTCCTCTTCGCAACACCTGTACCCATCTTGAGATCCAGCTTTCATTACTGGATAATATTCGGCCAAGTAGACCACGTCCAGCACGCAGTGAAGAAAATATACCAGCTGTAGCTGAGAGTGTACACGAAACCCGTGGAGAGTCGATTCGCGGCCGTTCGCCCACATATAGAACGACTTGGCGCATTTTATGTCGAGATCTTAAATTAAAAGCGAACGAAATACTGCTTGTTCTAGAACAAAAGCCGCTTAACCTTCCCAAGCGAAATCATTTCTTTCTTTGGGCACTCGAAAAGTTCCAAGAAGATCCGACGTTTTCGAGCTAAATTTTGTTCAGCGATGAGGACCGTTTCTGGCTCAACGGGTATGTAAACAATTAAAATTACCACATTTTGGACAAAGAGCAAACTGAAGAGATTCAAGATCTGCCATTTCATTCAGAAAAAAAAAACGGTTTGGTGTGGTTTGTGAGCCGTTTTAATCATCGGTTCATATCTCTTCTATGCCAATCAGACTGTAACCGTCAAGTTTTACCGTTATCATGCCAAGATAACCGATTGTTTGATGCCTGAAATTGAGGTTCGAGATCTCGACGACATTTGGTTTCTGGATGACATCGTCACTTCCCACACATGGCATCAATCAATAGATTTACTGAGAGAAGATTTCGGTGAGCAGATAATTTCACGTTTTAAGTCTGTCGATTGGAACTCAGAAACAGCTATAAATATGTCACTGTTAACCATTAACAGACCCGTTTATTTTGGTCTTAAGATATCATTATACAAGCAATATTATCATTATCACATTAAACTATATATTTCTTCTTAAAAAAAGTAAGCTAATTTACTGCAAATAACAAGCCATTTAGATACATTGCCAACAGATAACCGCGCATGTAATATTATAGCGCTCGAAGTTTAAAAAAGCTTGCCTTCCCTTTTTACCATTACACATTACATTACAGACAGAAAATAACACTGAGAAATAATGTATTTAATACAAATAGTGTTTTTTAAACCATTTATTCCATTATCAATAAAGTAAATCAAACTCCAAAGGGAAATTGTACGCCATGAATGCAGCAACTATTGGTAACCAACCAGTGTTCGTGTGTACGTAAAGCGATGAGCTAATTTATGACTTCCTCAACAGTTAGCAGATCGAACACTTTTGATAAATTGGCGCAATGCAACACATGTTACGAGAAACAGCTGCAACGGAAGTGTCAATGACGGAGGCAACTACATATTATAACACTGAATGCAATAAGCCAGCACTAGTGACTTAGTAACATGGCAAATCGCACTCCGGGAAAGACGAATGCAAAAATAGTTACAAATATTTTGACACTTGCATGTTTGTTTGCCATTCGTCACGATGTTCTCAAGGGAAGGAAGTGGCATGCAGATAATATTGATCAATATGTATGTATCTGCGACAAGAATTGAGAAATAGTAGTATAAAATATTATATAAATTACCGCCCATCGCTTTGTGAAAATATTATATGAATTTATCACAACTGTAGAAAATGCTTAACAGGGTGTTTTGTTACATTTGTAGAGTGCGCAGTCTTATACAGCCCCCATTATTCTACGAAGTGTACGTTTACCTCTGAATAAGTGAGATGACAGAACTGTCTATTTGGATACCATCCATTGGATACCAAGAAGTGAAAGATGTCTTTCCTCGCCAACATTGTTATTCAACCCAGTCAGCGAAATAAGCGATCCTTACTTCCTTATAAATTGCTAAGAGAATTCACGCAGCACACTGTCAGATAACATTTGGCAGTGGTTATCAGAATGAGCAACAATTCGATGAAACTTACTAATCGCAAGAAGCTCATACGACCTCCAATCCAAAATTTGTAATGACGAGGCGTGCTCCTGGTACGATTTAGGTACGAACCCTCTTCTTTAACGACGTGACGAAAGCAAAAAATATTTTTTCTTTTAGCAAACCAAGCTCTACTCTATATTCTTGTGCAAAGTGAAATCCAATCTTAAATTATTATATACCCAACGATTACCCTCCTCCTGCGTAACCTACGAGAAGGGCGCAGTCTGAAAACGAGCGGAATCAGCGACCTTAAGCTGCTCAGCTACTGAAACAAAAATATCAACAGAATTAGGTTAAAGTAAGTTTATTACACCTGAGAATCGTGAAATGGTTCGTTTAACTCAACTTTTTTTCTGTAAAACTTCAAAAGTAAAGACCTAAACTATCTGGTTGAGAGAACGACTAGCGAGAGTAAGTAGATATATACGACTTTAAAACAATTAGTATATTGGAGAATATTTAACCTGGAATCCCAATGAAAATGATTTTAGGCAAAAAGTAAAAACTGCTTTTGAACGGACTCTAACTACTCCGAATGGATCTGATAACCAGGGTTCCAAAACACAGAACCATACTCTAATATATAAGGTGTGTTCAAAAAGTATCGCGAGTTTTGAATTTTCGCAGGTTACGTATATTCGAATTTCGAATTTTTTGTGGCGTTTTGTTGGTACTCATGTCTCTCACTTATGCCGACAAGCTCGGCCATTTTGAATGTTCATTTAATTKTTKRCAGMWGCTTTGCTTGCACGTGTTTTGGATCGTCTTCGATTTTTTCCTATTAAAAAAAATTGATCAAAGAAATTTTGTGTGAAAAACGAAATTAAGTGCGCGGATGCATTCCAAATTGACTGTGGCATACGGAGAAGCTACCTTGGACCGAAGCAACGTTTATCGGTGGTACAAAATGTTCTCAGAAGGCCGAGAAGATATGACAACAATTGGCTTTTGCGCCACGATAACGCCCCTGCTCACACATCGTTGCTTGTGCGCGACTTTTTGGCCAAAAACAACGCACTAATGATGCCGCAGCCACCGTATTCCCCAGAGCTGGCCCCCTGTGACTTTWTCTTGTTCCCTAAACTGAAGAGGCCCATGAAAGGACGACGTTACGCTTCTCTTGACGAGATACAGATGGCATCGAAGGAGGAGCTAAATAAGATAAAAAAAATGATTTTTTGAAGTGCTTCGAAGATTGGAAAAACTGTTGGCACAAGTGTATAATATCTCATGGGGATTACTTAGAAGGTAGATATATAGATATTCATGAATAAATAAATAATTTTTGAAAAAACACAAAATTCGTGATACTTTTTGAATACACCTCGTAGACCTTGCAAAGATGTAAAACCAATTTTCGTAAAAACCATGGAAAGTGGATGAAGATTAAAATTGAGTTTGGATTCATAGTTGTGTGCAAAGCAACAAAACTGCATACGTTTGACATAGGTTCTACAGATATGCGGGAAAACAGATCGTTCAATGCCATATCATTTCCAACACACCAAGAAACTTACTTCTTTAAGTCTGTTTGCAACTGCTATCTTTCACAATTTAAAGTAAATTATTAATAATGTCTTCGCATAAGAGTGGAATCTTTTTTAAATCTTGACTTGTTATTTATTAATCATATATCATCTGTTTTAAAGTATTCAAGGGTTTTATTAAATGCTTATATCGTCGGCCTATATCTACGATATTTATTTCTTCTTTGGAAATACGAGGTGCATGAATTACAGAGATCGGACACATCTTATGCTGATACGAAAAATTTTTAGGAGAGTGTGAAAAGTAATTAGACTTTGGCGTTGGCAAAACCATAGAACAATTTTGGTTTTCGATAAAATTTGCGAAATCAACATTATGGCTAACAATAGACTAGAAATTTTCAAAAAGTTACATTTCCAAAAGACATGTATATAAAGTACTATCATCTCCCAACAGCTCAACCCTGTCGAAGAAAATTATTTGGCAATTCCAACAAATCGCTGACTTAAACTTTCTCACTTCTTTACCTCTAATACTGTAGATGAAGTACAAAAATACTTACACAAGGAAGAAGAGAAGAACCATCATTTGTGCAAATTAAGTGTAGAAAAGATTCATAGCTACTTATTTAGAAACGCTTAACTAACAAGGGGTGTGGTCTACGGGATAGGTGATCTTTACAAAATTACAAAACACTTTCAATTTAGTTTAAACGTTTACATATATTAATAATTCGCACGTACATAGTATAGGTATTTGTATTATCTTACATAATTTTTTAAAAGTGTGAATGTTATATCGATTTTAGAAATACATACTTCAAAGTTATGCTAATAGTTTCAATAACCGCTACCACTTTTACAAACACATACATAAATAAGTCCAATTATTGTGTGTTAAATTTTGCAAAATTTATTTTTATAAATATATTCGGTACAATAGTTAGTTATGGGATAGTTAGAGTAGTGCATTGGCTAATACAGTACGTATACATATAATTAGCTACATTTCTGGTTACAGCAGCGTACATCACAAGAACTATTACAGTTGGTTTTTGCTTTCGTTTTGCATTCTTCATTACTCAATTAGTGATTATAAACAGTTACGAATTTTTTTTTTTTTTTTTTTTTTTGATATTTGAGGATGTCAATAATTTTGAGTAGTTTTTCCGCAACGATTTTTTTTTAGTCACCTTGGACGTTCTCGTAAAAGACAACAACATTTTAATAAAATTGCGTAGCGCAATTTATTTCAATTTCAAAAAATATCTTCTCGTGTGTGCTCTTTTTAATGCTGTGTGGATTTTTTTGTTTTCTCAAATAATTTTCTTGGTTAAACTTGTAGTTTTTATGTCTTTAGAGCATGCCGTATTGTACCTCGTCTTCGTCGTCTTCATCATATTCACCATCACTTTCGTTTTCGCCCTCCACCAATGCATCGCTCTTCTTCTTCCCACTACCACTTCGCTTTGCGCTGCCATTTCGCTTGCCCCTACTTAATTTGGCTGTGGTCAAGCGTGGAATTTTGCCACCCACATGCTCGCTGTTGCTACTTGCACGCTCATCTATTGTTTCCAATTTTTCTTTGTTCATATATTCGCCTATTTCTTTGTTTTGTTGCTCAGATGTGACTTCTAAGCCGCCATTTTGTGGCAACACATTTTCTGTTATGTCATTTTCATTATTTTCTAAAACTTCTTTTTTTGTTTTCTTACTTACTTCCTCTTCTTCAGTCTTATCGTTTGCATTATTTGCTTCTTGTATGCTTTTTTCTCCATCATTATTTTCATTGATCTTTTCTCGAGAATCTTTCATTGTTTTATTGGGCTGTGCGCTTTTAGTGTTGTCACCGTTTGTTGTGTCTTTATTTTCTACGTCTTTTTCGTGTTTGCTTTCTTTACTTTCTGAATTTATAGCCTCATTTTGGAATTCATTTTTGTTTTCTATTATTTTTTCTTTCTCATCACGCAAATTGGTTTCTTCTTCTGCATTTTCCGTTAAACCATCACCCTTTTTAGCTTCTTCCGCTTCCACTGCAATCTCTTTTACATTCTCCACAGCACTCTTTTCATCCTTTTCAATATTACTTTCCTTATCTTCTAGCAATACATGCTCTTGGGTTTCTTTTGCTTCATCTTTCTCAGTAGCTTTGTCTTTCTGAACTTCTGCATCATTGTCTTTACTTTCATTTTCTGCAACAACACTTTTGTTGGTTGTATCCTCTTTTCCTTTTTCATTTGCTAATATTTCTGTCTCACTTACTTTACTTTCGCTATCACTTTCTTTGTTTTCTCTTTTTAAACTTTCATCTTCATTCTCATTTATTTCGCCTTCTTTTCTGGTCTCCTCTAATTCTACCTTTTTAGCATCTACATCTTCACTTACTTCTTTTACTATATCCTTTACTGCTTCTGTTGTATCAGCCGTTGTTGTCTCGTCAACTGCGTTTTTAACGTTTCCTTTCAACTCATTTACTTCTGAATCGCTGTTATGATCAGCAGCGTGCTCTCCAACATGCTGTACTTCATCAACTTTATTCTCTTCCTTATCGCCGCTCGTTGCTTCTGCGTCCTTTGCCGCTTGTACTTCTGTTTGCTTTTCCTCTGTCTCACCTGTTGGTGTCTGTTCCTTGTCTTTTTCCATTTGGTTGTCTCCACTCTCAATACGAGGTTCTATCGCCAAATCGTAGATCTTTGCCTCTTCAATTTTCCCCTCAGTATTTTTAGTTTCGTAGTCTTCTATTTCATTTTCTTTAACCCCGTTAATTTTTGTTTCATGTTCCGTATTGTCTACCTCCTTATTTTCAGCGGTTTTTGGTTTCTCTTCATCATTCATTTCGTCTTTCTCCTTCACGGTGGATTCACTCTCTTTTGTTTCATTTTCCATATTGTCCGACTCTCTTTTTTCGGCTGTCTTCGGTTTCTCTTCATCTTTCATTTCATCGCGCTCTTTCACGTTCGATTCACTATATTCGTGAGTTATCTCTTCACTTTCTTCTTTTTTCTCTTCTACAGTGTCTGTATCCTCTGTTTCTTTACTTTTCGTCTCCTTTTCAACAAACTCGCTCTCTGCCGAATCCTTGCTATCGTCCACAGCTGTTGTCGCTGCCTCGCTATCTTTCTGCTCCGCATGCTCTTCGTTCCCATTTCTTTTGGTTGTTGTTGTGTGATTTAAAGCTTTCATATTAGTCTGCAAAAGTAAACAATTGTCGACTGATATCTTTCTGTATGTTTGAATACAAAAAACAAGCAAAAAATTTTTTTTTGCATCTTTTTTTTTTTCAAAATTCAAAATATTTTTTAATGGTAAATAAATCAGCACAAAACTTGAAACTAAATTATAATGAGCTTAAGTTAACAGATAAAGTTATAAATTGTCGTGTCTTAAGCCGCTGACCGAGTAGTAAAAAAAAATAAAAGTATTAAAAAAACACAAAAATGTTGTCTGTGTATATTTTCAAAAATATGTATTTTTAAAAAATGTAACAAAAACATCGGAAATTCGAAAGACGCATCAATGCCGACAATGGCTTACTTTTGAGAGTTGGAAAATAGTCACTAATTCTGAGCTACTCATCGTTCTCTAATTTCCTTTACCAAAAAAGCATTTTTGAATAAAACAAATTGCCAATCCAACAATATTTTTTTACAAATTCAGTAAATAAAAAGTTCAGTGAAGCTTCCAGAAATTTGTGCATACTAAACTACAAGCGAAAATCGAAAATCTACCAAAGCGACAACAATTATAAGCTACTAGCTTTCACTAGTTGTTTGCATTTATAGCATTCAAACGGGGTGCATTTTGAATAAAAATTCGAAAGTAGTTGACATTTGGTGTGTACGTGATCAAACAAATGTAGTTATGTCATTACAACAGGATGGGTGCTTAGCGAAAATGTGCAACTCACCTCCGCTTCTGTGGCTTCTACCTCTGGATTGGCTTGAGCATCGGCTTCGCCGTCAGCCTTAACATCAGGCTCAGCCTCAGCCGGAGCTTCAGAATCTGCGACCACAGCTTCTTCACCTGCAGCCTCCACGTCCTCGGCTTCGACGTCTGCCTCAGCTTCGTCATGCCCATTAACTTCGTTTGTCTCCGTCGCACCATTTGTCAGTGCTGGCTCTTCTTCACCACCCTCCTGTGCATCATTTGCTGCTTCTTCGTCATATTTTTCTGGCGTTTGTGGTGCTGAGTCATCATCATTGCCATTGGTAATTGCTGCGGCAGGTGGCTCCTCGTCCGTTGCGCTTACGCTTTGTGATTGAATGTTGTTTTTGTGGTGTAACGCAAAATGTTTGAGTTTGAATTTGTGTCAACGGTATTGTGTATGCGGTGTTTTTTAAGGAAACGGTTATTTGTTATACAAAAAATTGTCAAAAAGCTCTACACAAAAAACATAATATTTATTTATAAAAAAACATATATTTATGCAATTTTTAATTCAACTTTAGCTAAAAACCACTCTGTGGCACTTCCAAAATATTTTACTATGTGTAGATATGTTTACTGAAAGCTCTCTATTAGCTTTAGCATTCAATTTTTGAATTGTAAATAGTATTTTAATTATTTTAAAAAATCTGGCATGCAAGAAAATGTTAAAGTTTGGAATTCGTTTAGCTTTTTTATATTTATAAGTATATAAGTATTTATGGTGGCATTGCGATTAAAAAATTAATATATTTATATATAAAAATTACATGTCACGTTGTTTGTTCGCGATGAACTGATAAGCTATTGAACCGATTTAAAAAAAAGGTTATAGTGTGATTCCAATTTGATCCTACTTAAAAGATAGGATAGTTTATAGCTCAATTATGTTAAATTAAAACAATACACAAATAAAAAAAATTCCTTTTCCAAACAAAATCATGTGCTCAAAATTTAAACAAAAATATATTCATCCGCAAATTGACAATGAAAAATTAATTTTTCAATTGACAAATATTTATATCAATAATTTTTAAAATTAAACTTCAAGAACAATAACTTTGATTTTTTTCGCCTTTATTCGTCAATAATATTTTCAGCGTATTGAATCGATCATTTTAGTACAATGAACACACCAACGCGTTTAACTAGTAATTGTGAACACACCAACGCGTTTAACTAGTAATTGTGAACACACCAACGCGTTTAACTAGTAATTGTGAACACACCAACGCGTTTAACTAGAAATATATATATTTTAAAAAATTTAGAATAATATTTCGTCAGAAGAAATCTTATAACGTCACATAAAACTCGAATATAAAGTCATATAAATCAAAACTTAAACAAATTTAGTTAATTAGTGTCATATTCGAGAGCTTGGTTCTCGTATGAAAGCAAATACTAATGGAAGGATTCCAGTTACCAATGAATGCGTTCCTAAAATACTAATCTTACGATTTATATTATATATTCGTATTTTAAGATTGAAATATGTATGTGCTTTGAATCTGACAAGATTCAAGACTTCTTCAAAATTATAACTAATATTCGAATATCTCCAGTTTTGTGCGCAAAATTCCAAAAATTAACATTTTCCGCCAAAGAGCAACGCAATGTACGACTACAAATTCGCCACTACAACTACCAACTCACTACGCAAACAACACAGATACTCACCCATCATTCAAGTCCACCTCGGATGTATTTTCAATACTGTCGTCAGTGGTGCGACCATGAAAACCATTCGTATCTGGTATTTTAATATCTAATTTCTGTTAGAAAAAGAACGAACACAAACCGGATGGGTGGCGGGATAGGATAGGGAGAGGGGGTAAACGAAAGAAACAGAACGCAAATGCGTACATGCATAAATACATAAATACACACATGATAATTATTGACAAATCTAGAAAACTTGATTAAAGAGAAATCTCATAACGCAATCAACGACAGCTGCCAATCAAAGAACTCACCTTGCCACCATCGCCGATATCTTCGCTCAGCGCCTCCCAGTCGGTGGCGACATCTGGTGAGACACGTGGCGCCTCCGGCACGTAAACCAAGAAGGCGCGTTCGATTTCGTGCGGCTTGTGGCGATAGTAAGTAGGTGATTTCATTTTCTAAATATAACGAAAACAGAAATATTTAAAAAAGAAGAATAAAAGTGAGTTTTTGGAGCACACGCAATTCCATTTGAATATGATTGAAATTTTATTTTCAATTACAACACGACACTTTGACGCATGGCACGCAATTGCAGTAAATTTACCGATATGATATTATGTAAAACAGCAACAGAAACAACAAACATGTTTTAAACACTTTACACTTACATAATCCAAGGCCTCCTCATCGCAGCCGGCCTCCGTGAGTAGCGTATAGCAGCGCATGTTATTTTTGTGACTTGCCGCCCAATGTAACGGTGTTTTTCCCGTTATATCCGTTTCTGCAGCGCCATCCGGCCAAATGCCAATCAAATACTCGAGTATCTTGGTATGCCCCAGACCAGCCGCTTTGTGTATAAGATTCAGGCCATTCGCATCGCGACAGGTAATGAGCGCCGGTGGCACCGGTGACTCCATTTTTGCCTGCAACGTCTCCAAATTATTGTCGATGACGGCTTGATGTACGTCCTTGATCGAATTCTAAAAATATTTGCGCAGAAAATATGATTTTAATGCAAAAACACAAAATTTGTTTATTTATGAGCATTGCCTTTGGCAAATCTTAGATTATTATTGGCCAATCGTACTCACCATCACATATGGCACCGCTGCCAAGAAACGCTTGACACGCGGATTTGTGCTCGCCTGCTGGCATAGCCGACTGCCTTGCCCGGCCCAAAGGATGCGTGTCAGCTTGCCAATATCCTTTTCGTGCATCCATATTCTTATGGTGGATAGTTTGACTGAGAAATCTGCGAAGTGAAAAAGGACAGCTGCTTTCAAGGTGTGTTAAAATTCAATTAACCCTGCACTTTGGTAATAGAACTTTGACACACAATTTTTTGTTGTTTCGTAACTAAAGTACTTTTCTCATTAAAGTTTCAGTGCTACCCTGCCCCGATTTGTAACCGTATGCGCTTAGCGTGTTGACATGCTATTTTACTAGTATATTTTCGTAAGGCGAGTGCTGTTCTGGTTATAGTCTTTTAACTGTTTTAAATGCTGTTAAATTATTGTGGAGTTTATTCTTCATTTATAGGTAAAGAAGACATTGGCGGATTTATAGATATGTAGCTGTGCTGTAGCGCATAGGAATGTGAAGTCAGCTAAGATTATAGAATATGTTTAATTTTTTTTTTTATTAAATACGTACACATTTTAAAGTTTTCTCCCTAAAAATCTTCACAAAAATTAAATTTATTGAAACTTTTACTTTTTTAGTTCATAATACTGCTAAATTTTTAATTTTAAATTTTGCAGCATAATTTAGAAATGCCTCAGCAAAAATGAGCCTAAGACATAAAATTCAGAAATACCTTAAAAATTATCCTAAGAAATCTTCGCACATATTTTTAAATTTTTGAAAGTCTTAAACCCCCTCTAATGTTTTTTATTCGTTTTTGAAGTGGTTCTATATAATATTTTATTTTTGCTGAATTGTTACAAACTTTATTTTTTTATTGCAATTTCTTAATTTTTTTATGCAATTAAGAATAGAATATTGTAAGACGAAGGCACATGAGTTCATTTTTTATCTCAATTGGCGTATGACACCTCCTGCTGTTGATAATTGTTAAACGCATGTTGTTGATTCTTTTGAAAGTTTACTTTCACTTAAATGTTGATCATACGTCATGTTGTCGGTTTTGGTATAAAATTCCTGAGCATATAACAAATCAATTAATGTTGCGTATACGCCATGTCACTAAATTGTTATAAAATTCGCTATCCACCACATCTTCTTATGTTGCGTATACGCTATGACTAACAGATGGAAAATGATTATATAATATTTGCGGAATTCTTGGTTACGTATACGTCATGTATGGTTAGATTAAATTTACTCAAATCTCTTGACCTTTAACTTCTTCACAATCTGTGGATTATTACATTCTTTATTCTCCGCAATTAGGAATTCCCTCAATATCTACACGCTATTTTGTCAACTTTCGAAGCTTGTTTACGAAGCCAATACCTGTACAGATTATATACTATATAGAGATTATATTGATATTTATTTTTGCAGAAGCACATAAAAGGATTTAGTTCTAGCAGAAGAGCACCACATTCAACCTTCCTTTCTATATTCTCGTTTACAATATTTGAGTTCTTGCATCAAAATCGTTTACTTTCCTTACAATAAAACCTTTTCAACCCTAATGTAAGACACTACAGCTGGTACTGCTCAAGATGTTGCCACAAACACGCGCTGCCATTTAAATAAATCGCATGCGATATCATACCACTTAACTTACGACCAACAGCTGAACTAATTGAATAATACAAATGGTTTATTAAATATTAGTTTCTATACGATAGCGATTGTCATATTTCACTTAGCATGTGAAAGTAAGATAAATTAAACAACAAAACAAGAAACGATTGTTTACAAACACACATAAGAGAAAACTACTTGAAGTACACAAGCGTTAMAAATATAAATAAATAATATTAATGTAAATTGATCAAAAAAAGATGAAATAAAAAAAAAATATTTGAAGCTTGATTAGAAATACGAAAAGACTTTTTCGACTACCCAATATATACACCAATAATAGGAAAGGTATAGCAGATAGTGGTAAATAATCTTATTTATTTAGCACTATTTGGATTGAGAAAAAAATTAGTTAATTAATAACATAATTTTCTGTATTTACTAAAGGTAAAGAGCAAATAAATCAAAAGTTAATGTGATACTATAAACTGCTTTATTTACTATTTAATTTACTATATAAAAATATCTAATTATAACGCGCTTTAATGTTGTCTATGTAAATGTTCAATTGAATAATTTATGCGAGTATGAGTTTGCCTTCTGTTTTGTACTTGTTGTGCGCTGAGTGGGAAATCAATAATGTTGATGTTTTTTTATAGAATAGAACTCTTTAATTGTTTTTGTTTTGAAACTGCTTTTAACTGTGAGTGAGTGTTGAGAAAGTATTAACCATGGTTCTAAGCAAAAACCTCACTTAAAAACCACCACCAATGAAAAGATATAAGAAAGTTGTGGCTATAACCGTGTAAGCAGTGTCTACGCCAATAAATAAGAATGTTTCAGGAGTATCCTCAATCGATTTATTTAATGAACTTGAAACATTTTAAATATGCATTGAGTGAATAAACAGTCATAAAATTTTCGCTGATTTTTTTTTTTTTTTGTTTTTTTGTAAAAATATTTGCTAAAAATCCAATTTTCAATATTTTTCCTTCGCCCAAGTTCGAAGTTAAGCACGTATTTCTTGACTTCAAATGATTTTGTACGTAGTTATGCTGCCAACGCGCACGCATCTTATTTCCAAGGGATCACCGGCAATATATTTTTTCCATAAATTTCAGAGTATCTTTGTTAATAGTATGTGCTTGTAACAATAAAAACTTCTAATAAAATATTTAATTTTTTATATGAGAAATTGTTGAAAAAGGCTGTTATTTACACGAGTAAGCCCATATAACCCGTTAAGACTCATCCCGAATGGTTGTGATGATTTCTTGAAGATCTTTCTCTGATTTTCTGACTGTTTAGTTAGATAATGTACTTTAGTCCTCATTTCAGTATCCAATTATAAGATTTTTTGCTATGAAAACATTCTGTCTCAAATATTTTTATTTAAAAAAATATATATGAAGCAGACTAATGGCTGAAATAGTTGATATAAATAACCTTGTTAAGATAAAATTAACATTTATTTGATAAGTGAAATCCTCTAACGGCACAATTCCTAAACTCAAGAGCCTCAAATATCTTTCGTCCAAACCCTTATTTAAAATGAGTGATGGAAATTCGATAAGAATTATTGTGTAGCATAAATGATGGAAAAGAGTTAGTTGGTTTTAAGAACTTTTTAAATCGTATTTCATAACGTGCAGCTGAGAAATCAATCTATTGATAACAAACATGATCACCTGATATCAATAGTTACGTATTGTAGGTTTCAAAAGATATTCTAAATAATAATAGCATAGAGATAATCAATATGCATGAATAGTTCCATGAGAATTTACCAAGTTAAATTATGATCTTAATTTTACAAAATATTAATAATTTTATAAAAATAATATGAAATTTAATATTTTTAAATTTAAAATATTTTTTTAGTAATTTTGCATACCATCTAAATCACGACGCTTTCGGCCTTGGTTCGACGATTGTCCGTTCATTGGTAGAACTGAAAAAAATAAATATTTATTTTAAGTGCAAATTTAATCATAAAGGTAAGATAAAAATTTTTAGATTAAATATAAACATAATCAAAGCTACAAAACTCTAAATGTCTGGCACAAAAAATCTGCCAATATGAGCTTAACATTAAACCACATTAACTATAGAGTAAAGCACCATAGAGAAATTTAAATAACTTTTTATAAAGGTGTTCCCTATAATCCTATATTCAATACACCATACAGAGGCCACAAGCAATTCAACAGAATTAGCGCACAAAATCAATAAACACAAAAATTGTTGCCCCCAAAAAGTAATCGATACATTATGCGAGTGCTCTTTGTAACGCTAAAACAATGTGAAATTTGGTTTACTATTTATTACGCTTTTTAATTGACCACACAGCGAGCGCACACACTTTACTGACGTTGGCAAACTGTGTAGCTTTTACAGCGGCGACTTCAAACACGTCTTCTGACTGGGCTTACCGGTCAACAACTGATTTCCAAAAGTGCGCGACGGCCGCAAGCCAATTGCCGGCCGAAAGGTGTCGAAAATTCCACAAAACAAACCCCATCAGCATACCAACGAAACCGGCTGGCAGGCAACCCAAGTGACCAACAAACCGACAGCCAACCAACCGCGTGTGTCTAGTCAAGCGGGCAGCCACGGCACCGGAAGCCAAGCGTTGAAAGGCTATTTGTAAGAAACGGACAGTTGGCGCGGCCGTTGCGGCAGGGGAGCGGAAACTTTTGTTGGTCAAAGTTAAATGCGACATTTCTGTTTTATTTCGACATGCTTTCAAAGGAAAGGAAAAAAACTAGATTCTTTATTGTTGTGTACTGGGTACTTATGTGTTGTTGTTCTTTACCTGCCGAAAAGCAAACAAAAACAAGGTCAACTTGTAATGAAAATTAAAAGTAATTGTGTAATATTCACCCACGTCAACACTACATGCTTCCAGGGAATTGAATGGAAATTGATTTACTCTTTCACAAGTGCACTCTTACACTGGAAGCCGGGTGTACCGTAAGTCAACTATTAGTTTTGCTTTTCCACGAAGCGCTTACACACAGAGAGTAATTAGCAGTATTATTAAGCTAATTTCACCACACTGTTGGGCATAACAACCACTTCTATTTATTCAGAATTAAACTAATAAGCAATTGGGGCGAAGAAGGTGTTCCAAGTATGCAGAGTAAACAGTGGACAACACTTGAAAGAAATAACGAAGCGCTTCAGTGGATTACACTGCGTATACGCAACCTTCGAAGCATATGACAAGTCCACACAGTGCCATTTTCTTAAATGCACTAATTGAAACCCAAACCAGTATTTTGGTGAATCTATAAACTAACATAAACTTAGATTGTCCTAAATAAAACATATGCCGAATTCTCATAACTCTTACCACACAAATATGCAGCTAATAACCTATAGCTAACCTATTTGTACATACATGTAAAGTACATACATATTTTCAGTATAAATATATGCTGCTCTTTATTGGCTTTCAAACACGTCAAGGTGAGCGCATTTTCGGTGTTTCTATTAGCATACAGGCCAACACACAACTTGCAACATATACAATTTCCGAAAAGTAGGCTACAATTAAACGTATTTGGTATGCTTTGCTAAGAAAAAGAAAATTATAGTAAATTTGAATAGCTTACAAGGTTGTGGGCGACCAAATCAAAGCCAAGGCTATGCATATGTAAGCATATCTGCCTACTGCCCTTAAAAACTACAAATCACTTACATGCTATATGCTAGTTACTACCACATACATATGTGCTTTTGATGAATATGTGTAAGCTGGACAATGCTTTTCCTGTTCGTAAAAATTATTTTTAGGCTCTCGCCTTAGGCATTTAAGCAGCTCGTTTGTAATGGCTTGGGACGCGTTTGCTTACGTGATGCATATCATTAGAACCCATTTAAGTATTTTGTTTTTCAGTGCAATTTTAAGATTTTAAAAATAGCATTTGAGTTGTTAAAAATATACTAAATTCGCTATTTCAGTCACTTCATTGCAGTTTTGTTCTTGCATTGATTAGAATAGAAGGTTTTCCGTGTAGTTATATGCTTTAGTAGTTCGACATTGGCCATTCTAAGAAATTAGCAGTTCCTTTCTGAGAAAACGACGGGTGCAAAAATTCAGATCGATTTCTCAAAAGCTTAGGTACTAGTCAACTAAACTCGTCACACTGATCTTTTATATAAAAGAATTTGGTCTCTGACATTTCCTCATGGCAAACTTAATATACCCTCAGGGGTATAAAACAAAATATTTGGATAACTAGCACAAGGATAGATGGTATTATTACCCGATAATCAGGCATGAGTACTTGAATATTTCAAAAGCAGGATTTTAATTGCAATCTGAAATAATTTTAGAATTCCGAAATTAGAACTACATGTTGGCGATTAGATTTTTTTAATATTAAACTAAACAATTCTATAGTTAACTCTAATAGACAGCTCTTAGCGCAATGAAATACACCGAAAAAAACTAAGTGTTATACATCGAGAATGAGGCGATAGATTGACCCAAATAAATGGTTTAAAGTCAGTTGGAGAGTCGGAAAAGAATTTGAGATATTTTGGCAACAAAACACAATATTTCCTAGAAGAAGGGTATTTTTGAATTTCATGAAGGTATCTCAGTATCTTATTATATATTAGATATATTGGAACTAAAGAAGAATACCATTTCAGACAATAGATGAACCATACAAATAACTGAGTATTTCAATAGGGATGATATGATGTTTAAGTGTAGATTTTAAATTTTTTTTATCAATTATAATTAAATAATCGTTCTCCAATTGCAACTTTTCGTGTACTTCTGTCATATTGATCGTCCATCTGTGCTCTCTACTCGCCGAATTGTTGAAAGTTTCTTTACATCAATGTTCAAGTGCCATTAAGGCAAAGAATCGTTCAAAGTAATGAAAATATTGTTGCCGGAGACAGCAATTTGTCGATTCCAAGACGTTCTCAAGAATTGAGACTGCCTTAAAGTCAACCTGGCTGATTTTGAGAAAGAGTTTAGGCTTGAAGTAATTGGATCACCATAAACTTTGTGAATTTCGGGACTTTACCTTGGAGCAACTTGAAAACGATAACAATTTTTTTAATAAAATTTTCTGTCGTTTCTAGTTCGAAGAAAATCTGCAAATTATTCATGAACGATCATTACATTTACTTAAATTGATTTGGTGTGGTTTTTGGCCCGGTGGAATCATTGATCTGTTCTTCTTTCGAAATGACGTTAACTGTCAATTTAAAGAGGTATAGATCTATAAAAACTAAGTTTTTATGGACGCAATTGAAAAAGTTGGTCTTGACAACATCTGGTTCCATCAAGACGGACCTTGTGAGATATAAGTCAATATTGATCGTGCTATTCATGACGACTTGATTTAGTGAAAAAAGAAATCGGAAATTGCGTTCATGCAATTCGGTTCTGCAAGAGAGCCTTAACTTTAAATATATTAATAAAAATATTACTCTTATTGGAAAACTCCTTCCATTTTATACGTCAGTCGTATATCTCGAGTGCTAACAATCACATTGTGTACCATATAGTGTTGAAAAGTTGAAAAAAGTTACATCTATTCAAAAATGAGTGAAAATAACGCCACACCCACACCAATTCATATGAAACCTTTCGTATCATCTTACCACTAAAACTTAATCCGTATGATGTTGCTTTTGTGGATTAAATTTATTTAATTTGTTTTCAACATTTCTGTTAAATGGTGATGCGGCATCTTTTCGTCAATTTTCTGACCTCAAATTGATTGGCTTAGCTTACTAAAGCTTTGTTGATATGTGAGATAAATATGGTACATTAAGCTTATTGCTGAGATACCCTCCACATTTTGATGCTCCGTGCCAAAATTTACGTTTTATTTCTTAATTTATGGCTTACTTATAGCTTGTAAATATTTTGTAGAGTATTTTATGGACGTCCTAACAGTAACAGATAATCTCCTTTAGTTAACAAAATTCTTATACTCCGTATTGACATGCTGCGAGGGCATAAAATAAATGTGAAAGTAAATTGGTTAGGTCACAGCAAATGTTTTTCCAAAAGAACAGAACCAAATTAGTAGGCAATGAATCGAAATGAATTAAAACTTCCTGTAAACTGAAAAATATTTGCAAGTCACTAATGAATATAAACTCTAGAAAAATTCAACAAATTTCAAAAAGTTAAGTTTAGCACCATGTACCGTGCACCTCTATAAGTAATTAGCACTAATTTATGGATCTTGCTGTTCTTAATTGCTTTATTAAGTTGTCAGTCGTTTATGGCTGTTCTTACCTGTCTATCTTCATATGAATATACGGAAGTATTACCTCATATTCATATTCATTTGTATATGTATATCCATCCATCTATATATATATATATATGTATATATACATATATTTACCTATATATATACATATACATATATATAAAAGTCTAAGTACACTCTTACGTTTGCACTTTCATATATCCCCACATGGCTTTCCCTTTAGCGCACTATTCGTTGGTCGTGTGAATTCCTTTACCGCGAACATGCAAATAATGAAAACGAACAGGAAATGAAACGGAAATCGCACACTAAATATTTCCGCTGTGCCATTTAAGATGGCAACAAAAACCAGGGCATAAAGAAGAACATGTGAAATATATCATGAAATTTATCGCGGCATATTGCCACTTGTTGCCTCAAGTAGCGAAGGCAGGTGTTGTGATACCTGTGCTTTATGTACTGGTACAGTAATTAAGAGTCATGTAAGCCTACATATAGTATGTGGTATATGAAAATTTTATATATAAAAGGAACAGTTCAGATACAACAATCCCGAAATAACGGGATTCAATAATGAAAAGTGCATAACCACGCAACAAAATTGATTTTCTAACAACACTAGCTAGCTCCTTGATATATTTACTGGTTTTTGAGATTTTATTTAGGCTTTCACTTCAAATCATCTTGGAAAAAAATTAGTTGTGAACTTTTGTCGGGGAACATTATGAATTTGCAAATGTTTTCGTTACTTTTTTAGTCCCGATATTACCGTAATGCTCAAAAATTTCAGTTTACCTATCAGTGCATATAAGCACATATTAAGCAAAAGTTTTGTTTACTCTTTTACTTATGTACTCTCGCTATATATACTCTCTAACGCATGTATATGCATAGTGTAGTCATATATATGTAGCTTCATTAGCCACACATGGTTTCATATAAATACTGAATACCTAATCTACACAACATTCAACAGCCGGTATACTCTCGCTGCTTATCGCCTTTGAAAGCCCTTAATGCCGTTATTCAAACTTATTCAGAGTGTCATTGTACCTAGATATACATATCTACACTTACTAGCGTTTGCCTTATTTACTTATAACTATTTTTTGTACGCCCACCCCTACTTCATTAAGTGAGCTTTGCTTTTACTAATTTGCATGTGCTATATTGGCATATCATCATAAAAATTCCAGCACCTGAGCGCCAGTTTCGCGTGACTTTTGCCGTAAACATTCCATTGAATTGGCAGATTTCCTTACACACCAACACATTTAGACACTCAAACATAGCTGTGGTAGTGTTTATTATATGACTTTATATCACACCATTAAATTCAGTAAGTTAATTCACCTTACGCAATTAATATCCGCCATTAAACTTTTATTTTAGTCAGTTTGAGGGCGCAACTACTTCAAGTAGCTTTGGTTTTATGTTGAGGTAATTATTAACGACGCAACTTGTAGTTGGCAATAAAGTAATTTTGGAATGATTGCAAGAGCGGTTGTGTGACTATATCTACTTTACATTTATAGAGGACAAAGCAAAGTTAATACTTATTATTGTAATAATTGATCCATTTCGATATTTCCTGCTTTGTTAAAGAAAAAACACAAAATCTTCCAATTTAATGGAGAATGTTTATTATCAATCAAAATGGCATTATTTAACATTTATTTTTTGAAGATAATCTCTCTCAAATAATGGCTGCGGCAACGTCTCACATGATTCAACCGTTAAGACCAATTTTCGATGAATCTTTCATTATGTTAACCATAAGTTGAGCGAAAACGCACGAAACAAATTCTTTACAGAATGTGAATTTTCGGAATTGAACGATTTGTTCAGGCGTATGTCTTTCCCGTGATGAAATACCAAGCAAATCTGAAAAACCAAACACGACGGCATGACAGGACGCACGCGTGATCTGTCAAGAGAGGGCTGTTTAAAAAATTACCTCCACTTGGATCACCCGTTACATTTGAAAATATTATCCAAACATTTTAAGTTTATCCGCCGAAAAGTTAAGAAGATACGACCGTATTTATTAGATTAATTTTGGGTAATCGGCAACAAACATTTTAAAGGGGTTTTTTCGAAACTTTGTTTTCCAACACTCGGGAACGTTTGGCTTATTTCCTTTCATTAAGGATAATTGCCTTTTCCTTCTATGTAGCAAATCTGCGTGAAAATTGTTTGAAATCGAAGTATACCTTTATCCTTAAAATTACATATTATAGCAAGTATCAGTCAATTTCTGATTTATCTTATTAACTCTTTTTGGTAATAACTAGTTCTGACCTTAATTTTCATAGTCTTCAATCATAATTTTCATTCTACCGGTTAGTTTTATATCAAGCACTTCACTCTTACTTGAGGTTGTCTTATATAGTTAGTGCAGACCTTCCCCCTTAACCCCACTCACTCGATAAATGCAATAATTTATACATTAAAAATTATCAAGATTACCGAACTTTATATCGAAAATATTAATCAATCTCTGGGATATATTAATGGAATTCAGACAGTATTTTATCCTAATAAAAATATGCACTTGTGTTGAAAAAAAATATTGGAACCTTTGGCTACCTATATATACAAAGCACCATTAACCTGCCTCCAGGAACTACAAGTTTTATTTAAAATTGTCATGTATGAACATAATTAAATATTACGTCACGTCAAATGTTGCTTTGATATATCCCTTATTGTTTACCGCTAGAAATTGTGAATCTTCATCGTTATTGCAATTTAATTTGATGTGAGTGTTGATTCAAATTTTGCAATTTAAATTTTAAATTTTTTGAAATAAAACTTAAATAGTCCCTTGAGGAACCATCAGTTGGCGGGAGGAACCGCCAGACATTCAAATTTTAAGATCTAAATTTGGCACAGAGAATCGCAGTGGCAAGGGGCACCTGTGAGCAACATTTTTTGAAAAAGTTTGAATGGTCTTGCCCTCTAATATATTTTATGTACATAACATATCTTCAAAACCATTAGCTAAGATAGTAAGTGCTCCTACAGACATTCTGGAAATGGTTGAAATCGGATGATAACTCCGCTCACTTCCCATATAATGTTATATTAAATCTGAAGCTTTTAGCTTTAAAGGAGCCGGGGACAAACTTGAGAAATAGGCGTGGTACCGCAAACTTTTAGGTAAAAACTTATTTATCTAGACCCATCCTACCGATTTCAAAAAAAATTTGGTACGTGACGATCTTTTAATATTTTTATGCTACAGTGTGAAAATGGACGAAATTGGACTACAGCCACGACTCCTCCATTTAAGGTAGTAGTCTGGTCACTGGGGTTCAAAAAATCGAAAATTTTTTTTGCTTAATTTGAAATTACAATGTCTTGAGAATATACATTGAAAATTTTCGACAAAAATTCGAAATATTTCAGGAGTTATAACAAGTTTCCTGGAGCGCTCCGGAGTCCTCTTTCTCGGAGTTGTTGAACTTTAAACGCATTTTTCTCAAACATTGTTTTTCTGGTCGGCCCGGGTCCTAATTTTTTTTCTACTGAATCGATTGCATTCCATTTTAAACAGGCTGTTCTACACATTTATAGTTCTCGTCGCAACTAACGAGAATTTTGTTCACTCCTAACTTTTTATTTTATTTCATTTTTTATTTTTTTTTGCTAAAATAAAAGGACTTATTTTAATCCGCCCTTTTGTTATTTACCCTTGAAATTTAACTTCAGTAGTTACGACCAGAATGATTTGTTTATGGATTAAGAATAGTAATGATTTCAGATAACATCAAGAACAAAATCACCATGTCCACCCACGTGCAATTTTTTTTCAGGTTCCAACTTCGAGCGACAATAATAGTAGTAATAAAGTATTAAAATTTTTCAAATAAATTTTTTTTTTTCGATATGTAAATAAAAACACTCTATATATTCAAGATAATTCATTTTTAATTTTCTATAAAAAACGCCCTCCAAAGAGGGCTGTGTTACTACCACCATTTTAAATTTATTTTCACCTTCCTGTGTGGACCCAACGCTTATAACTGACATGTTAGCGAAAATACCGGTCAATGTATAAGAAATATAATTGAAATTCCGAATTCTTTTTGCGTTTAAAAAGTGCGAGTTTATAAAACGTTCGATAACAGCCGAACTTAGTCACTCTGCTCTTTATAATATTATATCTATATATTTCGTACATCAATTAAAATTTTCAAAAAAAAAGTTGGAGAACAAAAACTCGTGGAGGAAAATATTATTTTACATTGGCAAATTTATATAAACTGATATCTGATATTTAGATAAGTAAGTAAGTAAGATAGTATGCAACAATTTTATTTTATATTTGACAAAAAAAGTTTATTGAATTTCCCATAATTGCCAAGATAAAGTTTAAAGTGTATAAATTAAAAGCACTGTTTATATTTGAAGTAATCGCATCTCATGTCGAGTTATTAATGTGAGTTAGTGGGTTCAGACAAGTGAGGTAGGCAAGACTCGGAACTAAAAAATCACCAAGATCCACATTTTTTCTTATATTTGCAATAGCTTAGATTTCGATTAATTAGACAAAAGTCGCACACAACAAGCAGAATATTGATTTTTTATAATTATAAATTGATATATTGTTATATTATCTAATTATTTTAAAGCCTTAATATTTTGCAAAATTTTCTTGAGAAAAATTTAAAAATTTCACTTAATTAAATAATAGCGTTTTCTCACTCACCCTTCGGCGGCGACGAGTGATAGTACAATCCCTGAAATCGGCGTCTGCGTTTCGGTGGCATTTTCGCTATAGATGTATGTTTATATGTGTGTGTTTAAATGTGCACTATCAAGACTGTGGACAGCGGAATTGCTGTAGATGCACCGCACGCGGCTAAAGTCGATGCTGCCGCTAAGAGTGGTGAATGCGAATGCCACTGCAACGGCGAGAACAGCACTGAGACCACACTTCAATGAGCTCGTGCATGCAGGCGATACGAATGCATGGCGGAAACTTTCCGGCAATAAGTCATCTGCATAAATATGTAAAATAACGGAACACCCACTCGAAAGTACAGCAACAACAATAACGATAARTATGGAGCAATACACACACACGCACGCGTGGGACTTAAGGATAAAATAAAAGCAATGGAGCGTCCGGGCGAAGAGGCAAATGAGCGTTTTGCGAATTTATCAGCAAATAGACAAGTTTCATATTTTTGTTTTTATATATATGTATGTATACATATATATTTTTTTTTTTTGCTTTTTTTTTCAACGTATTGGTCATGCAAATGACGCTAGACAAAGTGGCACAGAAATATGTTGTCTATCATATGCCGTTACAAGCATTTCTACTTTTGTGGCACAAACACATATCTGCATGCTGGTCRTTTGTGCGGTTTTCCYAGCTATCTATTATGCGATTTGCTATATATTCACGCACACACATACACATACGCAGCTCTGCTGTCTGCCGTTKCTCACAAAAGTATTATTTATTTCACTAGTTTTTACTTTGTTTGTGTTTGTTGTGCTCGTATTTCGACAGAACTCAATCGGATTTCGACAAATTAYACATTTGTGCGACTTCTAAAGAGTTTGTATACAGATAGCTCGGCATTTTTCCAAATTACACTGCACGCCCGCTRGCTRTTTGTCACACACACACGCACATACACAGCGACACAATTACTATTTTTCATATTTGTTGTTTTTTATTTGCACTCAAACTACCGCTGTTGTTGCTTTTGTTGTCTTGTTCGCGTATTTGCATTGTAATTTGCTTGATTGCTCATTCGCGCACTGTGCCACACCACCTTGCCACTAAATTCACACTTCCACTTGCTTTTGCATGGCACACATTGTACACGATTGCCCAGCACCGTTAAGCCAATTGCCCATTRTCGTTTTGGTCGCTGGACAACATTAGCTTTGTCACTCATGCAACGCTCACAACACAATGCGACTCACCACGCTCGCGACGGCGGAAACAGTAACGGAAACGTGTCCACGAGCGTTGACGGTTCAATGGCGTTTGCTGCACATATGACTATCTTCGGCAAATTTATCAACTAGCATGCCACTACATAGGAATTATGGTGCGCATGCAACGAGAATGGACACGAGTTCGCACGAAGCCTGCTTGCTGACCGCACACTTACATGACGGGAGAAGGAGTTGACGATGACTGCGAAATTACAAATGAAAAGACAACAAAACAAAGAAATACAAATTGGAATTGTCTGGTGGCGTGTTGCATACGATTTCGTCCTCATTCAATGTTGGCGCTGTTAGTTGTACACTTTTATTGAACCCGTTAGGCACACAGCTGTTGGTTCATAAACCAGTGCTGCACTCACTATTGTCCTTTTGATTGTGCTTTCCTTGGTTTTAGTTATACACATTTATAAATATTAAATTGYTACTATGAAATTTATATAACTGTAATATATTTTCACATTATTTTTATTTTACGCTTCCAACGCTTTGAAAYTATCGTTTCATTTATTATTAATTTATTTCTTTATTGTTATATAATTAAATATTTTAATTTAGTTTTTTTCTCCCTCACTATTAATAGTTATTTTACTTTATTTAGTGGTTATTTTAATGCTTTTCCTCACTTATCTACCATTTTCAGCGAGCCCAAGCGATGCAACTGCTGGATGGCGGACACGTATACGCACTGTAGTACCAACGGGTGAGTTCACTTTCAACACTGTTGTGCAATTATCATCCTGATTTAGTTTTGTTGCTGTAAATTTTATAAAAGAGTTTACTTTTATGATATGATTTTATTACTTAATTGGGAAATCAATATTAATTTTTTCCGCAATTTTCGCTAATTAAACTAATGGGACTTACAAAGCGTGAGTTCGTTGTTGGAATTCGTAGAATTGCTKGAGTCATCTTTTGCCGCCACAAATGCATGATTCGGCTCCATTTCGTGCAAGTTTGTTCTTATACAGTTACATATGGAGTAAATCTGTTTTTAAATAAGATACATAAACTAATTTTTGTTTTTTGTTTTTTTTTTTTTGGGAAAGACATGGTAATTATTGGGAATAATTTGTATTCGTATATAGCATTTTTCTCGATCGTTTATTTAAAAAAAATATATACAAAAGTACTATTCAAAGAATTGATCATTGATTCTATAACATTTTCCAAACTCTCTGGCAATTTGTGGATGCCATTTCGTTAGATACTTCGGCTAGATAGCCATGATTAAAAGAAAATCAAGCCAATTTGTGATACCCTGTTCTGATTTGAATGTTCCCTCATTCCAATGAGGGAGTTCTGACCGCTACATACAGCTTTGTCTTTATTACCCTTAAAGAAGCCTATTAATATACCAAAATTTTAAAGCAGAAAGTATAGAGAAAACACACGAAGAAGGACGTTAGGCTGTACCAACTAAAAGTCAAACCTACTCGAAGAGAATAGCAATAATTGTCACAAAAATAGGTTCTCCACACGCTGCTTAGGATCATAAGTTCAGAGAGCTTAAGCGAAAYTCAAAGACTAATGGCAGAGTTCACTGAATTTGGCAGATTTTAAGAACAAGTCCTTATCTTACAGTAAAAGGCTCGACCTTTACTCAGAGCTCCCGAATTAAAAAACAATTAATAACTGTTCACCACTGCTTATAAAACATTTACTTACTATAGTTTACGAAAATGTTTGCAAAATTTTCAATCCTGAATGGGTAAGATGTCCGTACCTCAAAAAAGTTAATATTGACAAGCATCAACCAGAAAATGTCATGACTGCGACAATATGTAAAAAAGATGGCCCTTCCTACTTGAGAACAAATTCTGTAAATAAAGAAAGACTTTTTCGAAGATACTAGTTGTTTAAAGCAGAASACGTACGTCTCACCATCATGAAACAAACGTCTCAATAAAATAAATCTAGTGACCTAATTTTTTCCTATTAGAAAAATATAGTGAATTCAATACCGTGTGTTACAAAATATTTAGCAACCGAAAACATCGGAAACCCTAGAAAAAAATACATAAATAATCAACTTTACGAACTAAGCATTTTAAGCTTTAACCGTCTATCTATCACTCCGTCTGTAAGCATAAGACCTAACTGGTCTCGCAACTCAACCCAACTGATTCTGCACCACACAGCATTGGCAATGGTTTCAAGAATCTATTGGCTTCTTCAGATGATATAAATATAGTAAAGCTGCTATACAAATTGACCTATAGAAATCAAGACAAAGATCTCTTTATGCCTTTTAAATAATAAAATATGCTTCAGTGCAGACGCAGTTTAAGATTTTTCTTAATTTCACTTTTTTCGTACTACGGGCAGGCGTACGGAAATCAACCTGTCGGAAGCCAATGGAATGGGTTCAGAGTTTCSCTGCGTTGTGCCTAACGTTTGTTTTAAGAACAACTCCAACGGCTCTTGAACTGGTATTAAACCTGCAACCTAGAGACTTCCTCGCTGAAAACTGCGCAGCAGAATCAGCGTGACGTCTACTTAATGCAAGAGAATTTACATATATGTAGAATCTTCGGGTATAGCTAAATGAGTAATGATTCAGCAAACACCCAAGGTTCAAAGTAAATGTAGAAAGTTATGGCTGAGGTAAAGGAATGTTAGATACGCGCGACCCCCTAAACGCCATTGCGACAGCCGTGGAGCTGGCCTCTAATGGACCTGAAGACAATTGCAGAGTCAACATCTACAAAGACAGCCAATCAGCAATCAAGGCTGTAACCTCGTATCGTATATCTACAAGAAGAGTCTTGGGAAGCAAGGCAGCAGTGAAAAGTGTTATCAGAAGCAAGAAACTTCACTTCTTATGGGTACCAGGTCCCTGTCTCTTATACACATCTAGATGTGTATAAGAGACAGGTGTGAGGCCACAAAGGCATCGATGGCAATGAAATAGTGGACGAAATTGCCAAGAATGGTGGTTAACATTCGAACACGTGATCAACATTGGGAAACCCCCAATGGAACTAGCTACATAGCTGAAAAATGCAAAAATTATATGCAAAATGGTAGATCGGAAGTACATAAAATTCAAAACTGATCACTGTCTGGTGGCGGGAAACAATGGAATATGTCATGTGTATTTGCCTTTTATTGGCAAGACTACACTGTATGCTGTATGGAGGAGGTGTCGATAATAAGTCCGCAGAGACCTAGCTGGGACTGAGCTTATTATATATACCCATAATTTCTAAGAAAAATTTAAATAAATCCTCAATGACCTGCTGTCTCCGGTTGTTATAATATCTTAATATCCAATATAATAAAAAATAATTTTTACACAATATTACGAAGTCAGCTTGATTGCCATTAGTCGGAACTAGTGGACCACAGTGCGTTATGGAATAGCAACAACGAACAACGAAGTGCTTAAATATTTAATAATGATTGCATTCCATGTGAACCGCTCGCCCCGCAGACAGGCGCATACATGGCCGCACGCACACACATGCATGGGACATTCACTTAACGAATAAACAGCAACACAGTTAACCGTGTGACCAACAAACAGACACAATACCGTTTGACATGAATAAAGTGAATGTAGTTTTAACGGTAAATGCACCGCTGACCACTAGCTAGCGGCTGACCAGCTGGATAACAAAAGCAAAAACAATTGAGAATGAACTAAATTAATAATGAAACAGTGTCATAGTTGTGGTGAAGTTGAAATGTGAAAGGTGAAACGTGGTGGTAGAAAATTAAAATTGAAAAGACGACGCAAAGAAGAGCCCAAACGGCAATAGAAACCAAATCGATAACACAGATATAAAAAATTAATATTTTGTTGTTATTAGAAAGCGGCAATTGGACTGGATCGATGTTTAGTTATAGTTTTCTCAGCAAAAGTTTCTAAYAACAAGCATAATTTGCTAGGCGAATTTAGGTTGACTCAGGGGTGGGTTGYCTGTAGACTGGGTTAGCTTTGCGTGTTTTCTTTGCAAAAAAAAACAGAAAAACCATAACAAGCGCTACTTGAAAATGTACCCAGGAAGCGATAGAAGTGA